ATAAGAATGGTAAAAAAAAGTAAGAGATACTAACACTACATTAAACTTGAAATTATATATGTTAGAAAATCAATTTTTTTGAGAAGAACAAATATAGTTTATATATTTCTTTTCTAAAAATGGCGTATCACGAGGTAGCAAGATCGTTTGAGTAAATAAACATAAATTGAAAGCCTTCCCAATTCGTGGAGATTGAATTAATAGTGACGAATAGTAAATATCAGAAATACCTCTTTTTATAAAAAAAAATATTAATCACAAAGAAATGTATGATAAAAGAATCACAGTCTAAACAAAATAAAGATGTTAGGTAATATAAAAATTCAATAAACCAGATGAAAATTAATTTTTAACCTTTACTATAACAAAAAAATAAAGATCGATTACGAGAAATGAAAACTGAAAGTTCATGGATAAACATTTTTTACATTTACATTTTGCAACGAACATAATATATCAGAAAGAATTCAAGGAGAAACAGAGATTTTACCAGAATTCTGAACCAATAAATGCATGAAAAATTATTTGAAAAATATCAAAAATAACTTTTTTGGGGGCTGTTTTAAACATGAGTTCTGAGTTTTCGGGGCCCTGGGAGATCCTCCTCACCCGGTGCACAGTGCCCATGCCTTACTTTACAACCTATCTTATACTCTAGAGCATGATGTACGTTGTCCGCAGTTTTGGGGGTCCCGGGGTGCCGAGAATCCAAAAGTATTTTTTACAAGTGGGAAATATTGGAATACTGCAATACCATCAAAATAATTTAGTAAAATGTTGTATTTATTTTTTTTAAATGGTTGTTAAATAAAAAAAAACATTTTAATTGTTACGCGAGCTATGCTGCGTTCATAAAGTCTATGTGATACCCCTGCGAATCTCTGAGTTCTCCCTGAGGATCTGTACAGAACGTATTGTAAAGAACTAGACTTACCACATTTTAAATAAAGGGACACTTCAAGTTACGTCTACAGTCCCTTTAAACCCGGCGTAAATGTCTGGAAACAAAATAGATCTAAAAAGTATTGCACTGTGCAAAAATTTCGACCAAAACTTTGCAACAAATGCAGTTTTCCAGATGAAACATGATTTTTAGAATAAATGAACACTTTTTTCAAATATAACTTGGAATGGTGTTTCTGAATTTGTAACTTTCCACTTCTTGTATTAGTGTGTGTATCTGTAAATGTAATTGCATTGTATTTGTACGCTGCAGGGTCGTGACTGTGTTTTTCTGTAGGAGGGGGGAGACATGGAGGGCAGGGTCCCCCTTTACACAGAAAATTTTTCAAAATTGTCTTATTACATTGCAGCTTGATTTTGAGGCTATATTAGAATGAATGATTAAAAGTAAAACTTTAGTACATAAAAGATTTAGAATCCTGGATGTTTTTTAAGCTAATAATTTTAGCTTGCATTTAATGTTTTGTGGTGACAAGGAATTTTACTAATTTGTTTTATATAAAGTCATTTTAGAGACCTATAATGTGATTTTGCTAGGGGGCTGGCGAGCCCCCCCCCTGCAGGAATTTCAGGTAGGGGTGACCGCTTGATTACCCCCCTCCCTTTAGGTATGGTCTTGTTACGCTGCATGTGTTATTGTGTTCTCGTTATTGTGTTTTATGTGTTATTGTTATTGTGTTATATGTGTTATTGTGTTATATGTGTTGTTGTGTTCTTGTTATTGTGTTATATGTGTTATTGTACTCGCAAAAATAAAAAAATTGCGAAAGGTCTCTTAAAGACATATTCCTGTTGGCCTGCAGTGACACTTGCTGGATATCGGAATCCGTTAAACTGTTTTTGTAATATTTTCATTAAATTGGAATTTGATTATCATTAAAACAGACCAAAATTGATTAACAACATGCACAATCTTGGGGAAACAAAACCATCTCAGAAAGAAATTATTTAGAATAAAAGTACTTGAAATGAAAACACCAACATTTGCTCAAGTCCGTTGAAGTAAAGTCATAGTATTTGTTTAATAAAGTCATTACTTTATTTCCTTCAAAATAATTTGCAGTAAACATTTCCATGAATTTTTTTCGCAAAACTTTTTTAGTGCCAGAAATTATTACTTTTTTCCAAATACTTTTTTGCTTGAATACTTTGCAAGAAAGTATTCAAATTTATTTAAGAGATTGTTAATTCAAAGCTATTATTTTAGTTTTTTTAGCTTTACGATTGTCAAGAATCAAACAATCTCATAGAATAGAATAAAAACGGTGATAAATGTAAATAAAGATATAGGTCGTATGCTTTAACATTATGTATATACACTAGTACAGTCAATGCACGTATATATACATAATACATATTATATATTACTAGCTGAAGTGCCCGGCGTTGCCGGTGGAATTTTTAAAACCCTTTGAATTTCCATAATTGAAAGTTGCTGGAAATTTTGAATTTCAGCCATTTGGCCACCTATAGTTAACATACATACAGGGTGTCCCAATAAACATGGGAATTCAGGGACGAATTCGATATATATCGTTTTTTCAAATAATTCTTTGATTTAGTATAGAGATAACCACTGAGAAAGCTGTAATCTGTTAGAGTTTCGTTTGCTATGTTTACATTTTGTTTATTTATGTTTCGACTGCATACTGTTGTACTTAGTAAAACAAGAAAATTGCAGTATACAAACAGAGTAAACTTGTCCGTCCTCACTGTTCATCTTGCGGAGAAATTATAGACACATCTTTACAGCCATTTACCGTTTTCCTAAATAAAATCTGACAGACATAATAATATCATGGCTTTTAAAATTAGGTATTACAATGCTAATTCATAACAAAGACGATATCCAATTCGTCACTGAATTCCCATGTTTTTTGGGACAACCTGTATATGAGCGAAGAGATTTATTACATACAGATACAAATACAAATACAGTTTGGATTTAAAATATAAAATGCAGGAAAAGTTAATATTTACGTTAACTCAGACTACACTATTGGTGAGTGCAGACAAGAATTAAGGAAATTAGTGGAATTAGCTCAGGGAGAAATGTATTAAAACGTTATTTTAGAAGATGTCAAGTGCAGACCAAAAGTCTGGTTTGGTTTGGAAATCAATGAATAGAACCGTAATTTTATATTTAATATATTTTGATTAATAATGTTTTAAGTTTTAGCATTGCTTTTTATGTTTAACATTGTGTTAAAATGGTTAAAACTTTAGGGGTCGAGTCCGCACCATGCAAGAGTCTGCTCTATGAAGGACACCGGGAAAAAAGAGCATGTACAGTACACCGTGCACGTTGATCTTGCAGGGCTGCATTTGTTGCAAAAAAGTGCTGGGTCGACTCCACACAATGATACCCAGACTGGACAGTACGACTGAAAGCATATTATAGAGACAGACAGAAGGAGCCGGTCAAATTAATGATACTTTACTGCCACGAATTTGTGACCTCTTTGCTCTACTAGTTTTGATTTAAAGAGAGTGACCGGCTATGTAAGGTAGTTGAACTGAGTATGCCGTGTTGTGGAAAACTTCTTTCGGATTCAGTTGAGGCATATTAAACTTTTAAAAGATCTGTAAATCCTGAGTTTGAGTGCAAATTCGACGTTCAAAACTCCTACTTTGGGGGTGGATACGTTTTCAGAATTAGTTTTTTTAATCAGTTCAACTACCTTCATAGCCGGTCACTCCCTTTAATGCACATGTTAGAGAGAACCAAACTTATCAGTTTGACGTGTGTCGGAAGTATAATTGTGTGTCATTCCATCGGTCAGCTGGTTCTTTCTATACCAACAAATTCTTTTTCTAAAATATATTTCTATCTTTCATGAATGAATTGTCCTAGCCTCAAGTTTCGGAATTCGGAATGTTTCAGTTTTAAGTTTCTCCCATGACTAAAAGAAATGTTACGTCTGCGGCAGCTGTAAATCAAATTATTCAAATATTTTTGTTAGAATTTTAATTTACATTTTCCAAAGAACTTGATTTTTTGAAAATAAAAGAGTTGCATTATTCTTAAAAACATCCAGTAATTCTTTGTTATACCATTGTTATTATTTCAACATTTTGAATTTGTTACTTTCAGGGGCGTATTCAGGGGCATTAAAAAAATTTCTGTACTGGGCCGGGGAGGATAAGCACACGGTGAGGCCTAAAAATCACTGAAACCCATAGATTTCACCGGTCCAGGGGGACTGAGCACCCATAGACCCCCCCCCTGAATACGCCTTTTGTTACTTTACAATTCCCTGATTCTAACGTTTTTAAGATTTAAATTTTAAACAGATTTAAGAACCCAGTTCTCTTTTTCAAGTGTAAAGATAGGATTAAAAAATATTATTTCAGTATGAAATAAGGACAAATAAATATTCTATACATGCTTTGTAGATGAGAGTCTAGTTTCTTAAACCTGTTTTAATTTAAAGCCTTCTAGAAACCATTTATTTTACTGATCCAGAGGGGGATGAGCCCCCAAAAACCGTCCCTTTATACAGTATACACATCTGCTAAAATTCTTGCAGTCTTTGCTTTGCATGTTATTAGCGAAGGTTGAAACATTGTTCATTGTTCATAGATAATTTCTCCTTTATTTTTATTTATTCCCATCAAAAACTCTAAATTAGATGTTTCCCCAGAAAATTCAAAACCTTTCAAAAAACACTTATCAAGGTAAAAAACCTAAATATATCTATATAATTTGCTTGTCTGTCTGTCTGTCTGTCCGTTTGTAGCCGATAAACGTCAAAACGGGCCCAAATTTATTTTGTGACCTCACATGACCCCAGAAAAGGTTTGAGGAAGTCAAAGTTACAGAAATTTGTGTCCAAAAGTTTTTGATTTTTGTTAAATTTCTAAATGCGCGAAAAAATATTTTTAAATCCGAGAATTTTTAATTGTTATTGTTTTATATTGAATGCTCACAGATAAAGCCACAATTAAAAGTTTAAATAGAAGATGGACGCAAAGCACCTTAAAAGCTTACTTTTTTGTTCCTTGCTATATCTAAAATAAACTAAAAACTAGAAAAAAACGACTAGATTAGTTTATTTAAATACCGCTAGGGGTTCAAGTTACAAAGAAAAGGAATATTTACAGTTCTATCATTCCTTCCTGACTATCACATTAATGATTTAAGATACATAATATAAAGATATATAGTGTACATATTACTAATCAAACTGCAAGGCTAACACTGAGTTGTCTAAGAGATATCTTTCTTCGATGATGATTGATTTCTTTAAAAACATTTAATAGTTGTAATCATTATTCATATTGACTAGATCAAAATTACATAATAATTACTACAGATAGTAAAAATAATAACAATCCTGCGCAGTAGAGTTAGAAGAATAGTAGCACAATGTTCTTCAAAAAAGTGTAAATTTTTGCTCAACTTTCGTTACTGTGCGCTCAGAACTACATTAACCATGGATTGTTTGCCTTGGAATCGATTTCTCTGAGCATTGAAATTTTTACAATAGACAGAAATAAAAATAATTTAATTAACTAGATAACATTTTTTCGTTAACAAAATGGTTTTTTCTGTGCTTAGAATGTTTTAAGATCCTTAAGTTTGGAAAATTACACAATTAAGTTTTAGGTTTGTATACGCGCAGCAACAGATCTAAAGACGATTACTTTGTAAATAGTTTTCTCTTATTTTTCCATTTTCCATTTATAAACAATTAACAGTCTGTCGCTAAGTTTTGTAGCTAGAAGGAACCCGCATATTTTGTATAATTTTATAATTTTATTTGACATTATATAAGAGAAAGTTTCTCTTTTGTTTCAAGATGAAACAGGAAACTTCTCCTATCTGGCAACTTAGAAACTATGGTTGAACCTGAGTAAGGCAGGGACAAGGAAGATAACCCAGGAACTGAAATATTTTTATTCTAAAAGAGTTTACTGCAGTTACAGGGAGAAATGTATAAACCACAGTAGTGCTGCTTCTAGATAGTATGTTTATATAAACCTCCTGTAAAATGCACTTTTTGTAAACTAAGTTCCCGATATATCTAACTTGGGGAGGTGGAGTAGGGAAAACATCTGATAAGAGGAACAATTTAAAGTTTTCACGTTTTTTAACACATAACATAAAATTTGAATGAAGGCGCCATACCATCAAGATACATTATTAAGCGCATCTTCCCCAAATTATATAATTCAGATTAAGGTTTAGATTCACATATTCATCAAAAATTTAAAAAGGGTTTGAATTAAACTGATGCAAATGCTTGAAAGAATTTTCTAAAACAAAAAGGTGTGATTTCTTACATTTTGCAACAAATGAAACTTAAACTGTGGAAATTATTCAATTTTAAACCTTTGCTTAAATTGTCATCTTTAACCCATCAAAATGAAAATGAAACACGTAAAAAATAATCACGAGATTGTTTTCAGATTTCCAAATATTGATATGCTTTAACATCTTTAATAGACAAACAACATTTTAAGATGATATCAGATCAACTGAGCTCAAGTTGATATTAACCAACTAAACTACACTGTACTTTTAAGAATCAACTAATCCACTATATTATTGGATCGTTTCTATATAGAGAGATAATCTGATCCTCTATATGGAGAGAGATTATCAAATCCTTTACTGATAGGGATCCTTTATATAGAAATCATCAAATCCTCTATTTTTAGAGGTCCTATAAATAAAGGGATTATCAAATCCTTTAAGCAAATTAATTTCTAAATCCGTTAAATATAGTAAATATAAAATCCTTTAAATAAAATGTTTACCAAATCCTCTGATATCATTAGAACTAAATTCAATAATTTAGTATAAGTTGATCTGAGACCCAAAATCTATTGAATCTAGTGGATAAATACCTACTATCCCGGCGATAAACTGAAATTGGGATTTTGAATGTACGGAATGTTTAATAAAGAATGTTTGCCATTTATACCCTGTGTACTGTTTAGTGTATCCAGAGCCAGAAGTTTAAGAAATGCATGTGTTCATGAAATGGATTAATTGAAACCTGGTTTCAAGGAAGAATCGACACCAATCTTTACTTTTTTAGAAACAATATGAGAAATATTGCTTTTTTTCAGATAATTTACATGCTTTCAAATATTTTAAGATTATTTAATAAAATTGACAAAAATGTTTGAACCCCCTAGCTTGTTTAATTGATCAGTGATAACCTCTTAAATTTCCAGCTCTGTGTATAGAGATGCTAACTTTGCAATTGATGAAACAAAATACAAATATTCTGGATCTGGAACCCGTAGTAGAACTGCTGGAGAACCAATCCTGGATCTAGAACCTGGAGTAGAACTGCTGGAGAACTATCCTGGATCTGGAACCCGTAGTAGAACTGCTGGAGAACTATCCTGGATCTGGAACCCGTAGTAGAACTGCTGGAGAACTATCCTGGATCTGGAACCCGTAGTAGAACTGCTGGAGAACTATCCTGGATCTGGAACCTGGAATAGAACTGCTGGAGAACTAACCCTGGATCTAGAACCTGGTGTAGAACTTCTGGAGAACTATCCTAGATCTGGAACCTAGGGTAGAGCTGCTGGAAAACTATCCTGGATCTGGAACCTGGAGTAGAACTGCTGAAGAACTATCCTGGATCTGAAAACTGAAGTAGAACTGCTGGAGCAATATCCTAGATCTGGGACCTGGAGTAGAACTGCTGGAGAAATATCCTAGTTCTGGGACCTGGAGTAGAACTGCTGGAGAATTATCCTGGATCTTGAACCTGGAGAGAGAAGAAATATGGGAAGCAGAGTCAGTATCAGATGTTTCTGAAAAATAAATAAATCTAAGAATGTGAAGAAACATATTTGTCATCATTTTAGTTGACGAGAACCCTTGAGAACAACTGTAGAAAACTACTTAGCTATAGAGGGATTCCACGAAATAAAATAAAGAATTTACTAAAGATATTTAGAAAGGAATTGAGATCAAGAATTAAGTGTTTAAAAAAAAATTTAACGTCTACGACCTAGTAGGCTAGGGTTGCAAAAATACTACAACCTAAGAGGCTAGGGTTTCAAAAATACTACAACCTAGGAGGCTAGGGTTGCAAAAATATTACGACCTAGGAGGCTAGTGTTGCAAAAATACTACAACCTAGGAGGCTAGGGTTGCAAAAATACTACGACTTAGGAGGCTAGGGTTGCAAAAATACTACAACCTAGGAGGCTAGAGTTGCAAAAATGCTACGACCTAGGAGGCTAGGGTTGCAAAAATAAAGCATTTAGAACATCAGAGTTTGTGGCAATACTTTCTATTTTTGGTCACACAAAGGAATTAATTCTCAGACTTAATTTAAAGCGTAATTTCAAGAGACACTCCGTGGAAAGATGACATTGCCTGATTTACAACGGTATTCTTTAAACCTTGAATTCATCTAAAATGGGAAAATTTGCATTCAAGGTTTAAAAGTGTTTCTTTCTGACAATTTCTATATGTTTTCCTATCGTAGAAATGAACAAGTCACTTTTGTAGAAAAACCACAATTAAAACGATCAGTTTTTAAAATTAATAACTTTAATATCCAATTTACACTAGATCAGACAAAGCTTTGAAGGGTGCAGTTGTAACTTGGGCATTGCCATCAATCATTATGCTTGCAATCCTAGTCCTTTTAAGAGAGCAGAGAGAAGAACCCACAATTGTTTTACTTAATCATCGGACAAGTTGTTGTAAACCATTTCTCCAATTTAATTTATTTCTCTTCGCCTTCAATGTAAAATGGATTCTATGTTTATTGTAAATAAAACTGTTTGTGACTCTAAGAAATGTTTGAAAGAAAAGGATTCCCAAGGGAGCTAGGAGTTCTGACCCTATCCAAATAGAACCTGTGAGATTTATATTTCTAAAGCTTGGCGGAGATCTGATAAATGTTTCTAAACCTTTATTCATTTTGCCCTCACTCTTTTCATTTTTTTTCGAAATCACTGGAAATTTAAAGTATTTTTCTTTCTGGAGTAATTAAAAACAAAGCGTCTTTGCACTAATTTAAAAGAAATCGTTAACTTTTGCTTCAGTAAAAAAAAGCAAATCGTTGGCAATTGAAGAAAAACAATTTGAAGGAACAGAGTTTTTGACACATTCTCTAATTTTCTAATCTCTATATCTTTGATTTCCGATGTTATAGACCTTTAAAATATGTATATTTTAAACTAGTAATGCTGTTGTACCAAACAATCTAAGTTTAAAATAACAAAGGTTTACATCATGATGTTGCAAAGATATAGGGAACATTTGAGTTTGTGGCAAAAACTTAGTTCCTTTCTTCAGGAAGCAAATAATAATAATTTTTATAACCGCGTTTTAGAAGATGCATCCATGGATATTTATTATTTATGTATTATGAAAATTGGCAAATATAAAATATGAAAAAGAAGAAGATACATCAGGTGAAATGTTTCGAAAAAAAGTTTGTTTAGATTTATTTCCAGGGAGGTGGGGGATGACAAGAAACTAACTACCACGATCGAATAAAAATAGCAATGTTAATGTAAGTCAATTTCATATTATGTAAATATTACTTACGCAGATTGATATGTGTTGATAGAGTTGAAGAACTCAGGAGGTTGCGTCATTTCATTTGATATTGTTATATTTACAGTTTCAAGACAATCTGCCAGGTTGATCTTTATCTCAGGATTAATTAAATCAGTTTTCTTCTTCTGATTTATCTTAGAATCGGAGCTGAGAATGTGTTTCTGAACCGTATCCGACTCCGGAGCTGTGACATGGAACGTATGTCTATCTTGACTGATGTATGTGGTTGAAACATGAGGGTTCTGTCTCGGAGGGATCGGAGGAGTAGCGCACTGTCTTCCGATCGACACGGAGCTGTTTACGGTTCTAGGCAGGAGCGGAGACGGTGGAGCAGACCTTCCTCCGACCTTTACTAAACCTAGATTTGTATTGTCTCTATCCGAGCCAGCCTCTTTATCTAGAGGAATAACAAGACTAAGGCTTGAGTTAGAACTGATTCCATCTTCAGAAATCTCAATGTTCAGGTTTCCTCTTGTCTCATCACTAGATTTCTTTGAATCCTGTTTACTCCAGCTTAATCTTCTAGTAGAGGAGGAATCCCAACCATCAGAGATCTTAATACAAGAAATAATATTAATACTTTAGGGTTTCCTCGCAAGTAAACTGATGGTGTAAACCTTATTTCAAAATTAGATTTATTAATCTAACAGAACTTATAGTTTGTAATATCTAAGGTCTACGACATTGAGCTGCAAAAAAACAAGGATTAGAAAGTCAGAGTTGGTGGCAAGTACTCAATTCCTTTGCGCGAAATCGTTGTTAGCAAAATTTTTTTCGATTATTACAAATTGTTTACACATAAAACTGATCAGAGATCTCTCGTCTAATTTTTTAAAATTTTATAATATTTTTATCTTTGCAACCTGACTCCATAGACATTTGATACAAGGTTACCAACAAAGGGTGAGACTTAAGAGACGACTGTATGGAATTCATGCAGACTTTTATACACAGTTTTGGTTCCCTGCAGCTGGAAACTTGTTTATTTCTGTGCCAAAATATTTAGCAGAACATTTAAAGACTAATTTTAGTGTAAAATACCAAATTCGACCTTCAAACTGTTATATTTCATAGATTTATGGTCATTAAAGTCTAATCCTTTATGGGTAACCCTGTATGTCAAACTATGGATTCAGCCAGATAAATTACTTAGAAGTTCCGGACACAATGGCTACAAGTTCCAGATACAATCCCTTGTGAATACAGATATAATTCATAGAAGTTCCAGACACAATGGCTACAAGTTCCAGATACAATCCCTTGTGAATACAGATAAAATTCATAGTAGTTCCGTGCACAATGGCTACAAGTTCCAGATACAATCCCTTGTGAATACAGATTTAATTCATAGTAGTTCCGGGCACAATGGCTACAAGTTCCAGATACAATCCCTTGTGAATACAGATATAATTCATAGAAGTTCCGGGCACAATGGCTACAAGTTCCAGATACTGTCCCATGTGAATACAGATATAATTCATACAAGTATCTTAAGGTTCCGGACACAATCTGTTAAGGTTCCGGACACAATCTGATAAGGTTCTGGACACAATCTGATAAGGTTCCGGACACAATCTGTTAAGATTCCGGACACAATCTGTTAAGGTTCCGGACACAATCTGTTAAGGTTCCGGACACAATCTGTTTTTCCTACATTAAATAAAGGGGACATACCCGATTCACAACGGTACCCTTTAGACCTTTATCAGATAAATATTGTGGAAGATATCTAGCATGAAAAGTGTTCAGTTCTGATCAGATTTTCCGTATTTTCTGTTGCAAAAATCTCTAAATCACTTTTTTTAAACCCTGATTGATGAATAATCAATTTCAAAGTTAAAAACTAATATTCATACTAGGCTTTCACTCTATAAATGGAGGGTCACTTGAAAACTGCATCTACTTTCCCTTTTATAAGTTGATAAAACAGAATTTTATTAATTTTGAAATTATTAATTTGATCTAAATTTTGAACAGAATTAATGGATACGGGCTCCGGGATACTGGCATAAAACTCAGAATAAACTTTTCTTCTCGCCCCGAACCATGGATCGAACCAGAATAAAGTGATTGTTCTCAAATACGCGTGGAGCGCTAAAACAATGTTCTGATGCTAACGGCATAACAACACTAAATTTCCAGTGTGCAAGACTATTGATCGCTCAAAATGCAGGAGAAGGATTTTTATTTAAGATTAAGGGCGCGTTAAAGTTATACGATCCTGTAGTAGGGTTATCCTACATTCAGAACAAAACAAGATTAACATAATAGAATTGAGTCTTAACCACAAAACTCAAATTTACTAATCTCTATATCGTTGCAACCTGATAGTGTAAACCTTTGATATTTCAAACTTAGATCATTTGATCTAACATAACTCATAGTTTGAATTATCTAAGGTCTACGACATAGGGATGCAAAGATAAAGGGATTAGAAAATCAGAGTTTGTGGAAAAGACGCAATTAATTCCTTTCACTAGAAGGGAAGATTTATTCTGTCCTTCGGTCCCGTTTTGCCTGTGTACTGTACAACTGACCTTAGCTGTTCACAGTAGGTCCGGTACTTGAAATGAACCTGAGTTTACAGTGGATAAGATATTCAATCCTAGCTTACCGTTGTATCCTGGAGTAAGGGTTGAGGAGAAGGTGAGGAGTCAGATATCACAGTTATATTCGGGCTTTCAACTGATGCATTCAGGTGACGGGATTTCAGGAGAGGTGGGGTCCGTGGAGTACAGGATTGTACTGCTGCTCCTCTCTAAACAATAATACATTCTGGACCTTATAGAATTGAGATATTTATATTTGAGAGAAACATATTTTCTTCTTGATTGATCCTTCTGAGAAATAATTTGACTTTCTTGTTTGTTAAAAACTTAGCAAGTTCAATATTTTTTCAATATTTCTATATTTTAAATTTATTTGAATATGTGTAACAAATATTTTTAGAAAGATGAGCGAAATCTTGACGGTCGTTTAGAAATAGAACGAAATATGTAAAATTTTAATAAAATTCAAAAATGTTCCAGCTTATAATATAGACATTTAATCTTGTGAAATATCTTTCTCGAAGTAGATATATTATATTTATTATTATTGTTATATTTTTATTATTCCACCCCATATTTACTTGTAAATCCATTTGAAGGTTACCTTTAGAAGTTTCGGAGATAAAGGAGGATAACTAATCCCACGGAGAGGGCTTAGAGGAGAACTAGATCGAACAGGACTCCTGGGTCTGCTCCGACAATCATCCTCAACAAGCTGAACTCCAAGGGGTATCTCTACACTCAGTGTGTGCGGAGAAAGGTTGTTTGGAGACAGTTTTCTCTCCGACCTTGGCGAGGTTGGATGAGAGAATTGTCCTGTATCCAGTAGCCGGATATCTAGGCTGGAAGCTCGTTGCTTGTGAGTGGTAGGAGTAGAATCCTCGGAGCTAAAACTGTTTGCTCGTGCATCACTCAGCTCCAGGCTTGGATCTCGTCTAGCTAACGTCTCCTGTAACTCTATTGACCCTGAGTGAGAGTGTGCAAGACTGGAGTAATGTGATCCTCTCCTGCTTGGTCTTCTCCTCATCCTTCCACTATACTCATCCTCCTCGTCCTCGTAGATGAGAAGATGATCGACGGAGGATGCTGGAGCAACCTTCAGCTCCTGGAAGTAATCCCGGGCCTTGTCCAACTGATCTTTCCAACTCTAAATAAAATCAAATAAATTCAATAGAATCTAACTTTTCTGATAGATAAAATAATTTGTTTCTTCCAAATTAAAGATAAACATAAAAACAGACATGTTATTGTTCCATATATTAAAATGTCTGTGAGAATGGTATTATTTAAATCCACAATATATCATTTATAAAGAAAGAGTTTTTATACTATTAACGTCCTAAGAGCAAGAAATATAAACGTACCACATAAAAATACCTACTCTAGATACACTGTACAGCTTGGAACATCAAATCACTAAACTTATTTAAATCAGAGAGAAATGTTAAACCAAGCATTTTGGATTCGCAGGATTCTTTGTTTTCATTCGTCACAGTCACTTTAATGCAAAACATAGTGTTTTAATAAATTCTGGTGCATCTTGTGCATTTAAATATAGAAGGGTGAAAATATTCTAAAAATATTATATTAATATTCAATAAACCTGAGAACACAATATAGAGAAGGAAATTACTTTCGATGCTATTCACTAAAAAGGAATACTTTTTTATTTCTCCTTGAATTTTCTCTCCATTTGATTATTTCTACTTTCCATGCTTCCCAATTTTTCTACCACTGCACCCCCCCCCCTCTCGTTATGCAATTTCAAGATTACCTTCTCCTATATAACAAACATCCCTGGGTTTCTCTTGTATACTCCCACATACAGAAAAAGCATTGGTATCTTCTTTTAGAAATAGAGATTAATGAAATTTCGTGGAGTAGAGCAGAGGATAGTGGAATACAGTGGAATATACTAGAGTAGAGCACAGGATAGTGGAATACAGTGGAATATACTGGGGTAGAGCACAGGATAGTGGAACATAGTGGACTGTAATAGAGTAGAGCAGAGGATAGTGGAATACAGTGGAACATACTAGAGATGTCAACGTTTTGATTTTTCAAGATTTTAGCTTTCGTTACGATAGTGTTCATCAAAAGTATAAACGTTTGAAACGTTACGTTGCACATTATGAAATTTTTGTACGTTACTGGGGTAGAGCACAGGATAGTGGAATACAGTGGAATCTACTGGTGTAGAGCAGAGGATAGTGGAATACAGTGGAACATACTGGAGTAGAGCAGAGGATAGTGGAATACAGTGGAATATACTGGAGTACAACAGAGGATAGTGGAATACAGTGGAATATATACTGGAGTAGAGCAGAGGATAGTGGAATGCAGTGGAATATACTGGAGTAGAGCATAGGTTAGTGGAATACAGGGGAATATAAACAGGAGTAGAGCAGAGGATAGTGGAATACAGTGGAATATAATGGAGTAGAGCAGAGGATAGTGGAAAACAGTGGAATACACTGGAGTAGAACAAAGGATAGTGGAATACAGTGGAATATACTGGAGTATAGCAGAGGATAGTGAAATTCAGTGGAATATACTGGAGTAGAGCAGAGGATATTTGAATACAGTGGAATACACTGGAGTAGAGCAGAGGATAGTGGAACATAGTGGACTGTAATAGAGTAGAGTAGATGATAATGAAATATACTAAAGTAGAGCAGGATAGTAGAATACAGTGGAATATACTAGAGTAGAGCAGAGAATAGTGGAATATGGTGGAATATGTTAGAATAGAGCAGAGGCTAGTGGAATATAGTGGAATATACTAGAGTAGAGCAGAGAATAGTGAAATATAGTGAAATATACCAAAGTAGAGCAGAGAATAGTGGAATACAGTGGAATATACTATTGTATAGTTGAGTATAGTGGAATAAAGTTAAATATACGAGAGTATAGTTGAGTATAGTGGAATATAGTGGAATATACGAGAGTATAGTTGAGTATAGTGGAATATAGTGGAATTTACGAGAGTATAGTTGAGTATAGTGGAATATAGTGGAATATATTATTGTATAGTTTAGTATAGTGGAATATAGTGGAATATACGAGAGTATAGTTGAGTATAGTGGAATATAGTGGAATATACTAGAGGGGAGTAGAGGATAGTGGAATACAGTGGAATATACTATTGCATAGTTTAGTAAAGTGGAATAAAGTTAAATATACAAGAGTATAGTTGAGTATAGTGGAATATAGTGGAATATACGAGAGAATAGCTGAGTATAGTTGAGTATAGTAGAATATACTAGAGTATATTTTAGTAAACTAAAATTTATACTTTTAGCAACATAAATATATATATTATATAATAATTAAAACAAAAATAACTTTTCCATTTATTACAATTTGTTTCGCGTTCTAAACATTCTTCAACAGCATGAGTTGGATATATTATATATGTATACTGTAAAGTATATATATACTGGAACAAAGTTAGATTAAGTAAACCCTCCTGGAAATGTTTCAACTTGAGTCTGGTAGATATATACTGCTAACTATACTACTTTAAACTTTCAATTCAAACCTAACAAAACCTTGAGATAGGAAACCTGGAGATACCAGCTGATAGGAAACCTGGAGATAAAATGATAGGAAACTGGAGATAAACTGGTAGGAAACCTGTAGATTAAAGCTGATAGGAAACCTGGAGATAAACTGATAGGAAACTGGAGATAAACTGATAGGAAGCCAAAAGATAAGCTGATAGGAAACCTTGAGATACCCTTATAGGAAACAGCTGGAGATACCAGCTGATAGGAAACCTGGAGATACCCTGATAGGGAACCTTGAGATACCAGCTGATAGGAAACCTGGAGATATCTTGATAAGAAACCAGATAATACCCTGATATGAAGCTTGAAGATATCCTGATAGGAAACTGGAGATAAACTGGAAGGAAACCTGCAGATTAAAGCTGATAGAAAACCTGGAGATAAACTGATAGGAAGCGTAAAAATATCCTGATAGGAAAACTGGAGATACCCTGATATATAGCTGAGTATAGTTGAGTATAGTAGAATATACTAGAGTATATTTTAGTAAACTAAAATTTATACTTTTAGCAACATAAATATATATATTATATAATAATTAAAACAAAAATAACTTTTCCATTTATTACAATTTGTTTCGCGTTCTAAACATTCTTCAACAGCATGAGTTGGATATATTATATATGTATACTGTAAAGTATATATATACTGGAACAAAGTTAGATTAAGTAAACCCTCCTGGAAATGTTTCAACTTGAGTCTGGTAGATATATACTGCTAACTATACTACTTTAAACTTTCAATTCAAACCTAACAAAACCTTGAGATAGGAAACCTGGAGATACCAGCTGATAGGAAACCTGGAGATAAAATGATAGGAAACTGGAGATAAACTGGTAGGAAACCTGTAGATTAAAGCTGATAGGAAACCTGGAGATAAACTGATAGGAAACTGGAGATAAACTGATAGGAAGCCTAAAGATAAGCTGATAGGAAACCTTGAGATACCCTTATAGGAAACAGCTGGAGATACCAGCTGATAGGAAACCTGGAGATACCCTGATAGGGAACCTTGAGATACCAGCTGATAGGAAACCTGGAGATATCTTGATAAGAAACCAGATAATACCCTGATATGAAGCTTGAAGATATCCTGATAGGAAACTGGAGATAAACTGGAAGGAAACCTGCAGATTAAAGCTGATAGAAAACCTGGAGATAAACTGATAGGAAGCGTAAAGATATCCTGATAGGAAAACTGGAGATACCCTGATAGGAAACCTGGAAATACCAGCTGATAGGAAACCTGGAGATACCAGCTGATAGGAAACCTGAAGATACTCTGATAGGAAAGCTGTGATAGGGATCTATAAAAAAAGGAGAACGGAAACTAGAAAGGAAAGAAGTCTTGGGACAGGAACCGAAAGTAAGAGAACCTGAGCCTGTAACTCTTCTATTGTGGATATCGAGATTAATGCTTGATCAGGGGTTAAAGGGAGCCTTGATTAAGAGAGGAAGAACTAAAATGAATAAATAACCTGAACCTGAAGAAGGTGTACCAAGAGAAAAAACATGAAGAAGGTAAACCTGGAGAAAGAAAACCTGAAGAAGTTGTACCTAGAGAGGGAAAACCTCAAGAAGTTGTACTTAGATAAAGAAACCCTGAAATAGGTGAACCTAGAGAAAGAAAACCTGAGAGAGGTGAACATGAAGAAGATATACCTAGAGAAAGTAAACCTGAAGAAGGTAAACCTGGAGAAAGAAACCATTAATAAGGTAAACCTGGAAAAAAAACCTGATGAAGGTGTACCTGGAGAAAATCAACTATTGAAAGAAAACCTGATGAAGGTGTACCTGGAGAAAATCAACTACTGAAAGAAAATCTGATGAAGGTGTACCTGGAGAAAAGCAACTATTGAAAGAAAACATGATGAAGGTGTACCTGGAGAAAAACAACTACTGTAAGAAAACCTGATGAAGGTGTACCCATGGAGAAAAGCAACTATTGAAAGAAAACCTGATGAAGGTGTGCCTGGAGAAATGCAACTATTGAAAGAAAACCTGATGAAGGTGTACCTGGAGAAAAGCAACTATTGAAAGAAAACCTGGAAACAATAGAAGAAGAATATATGTAGGTAGTGGAGAAGCTGTTTATTATTCAACGGAAGTCCTGAACATGTTTACAAACTATTTCTCCTATAGAATCATATTTGTATGCGCATAATAGAGACCATTCTAGACCACTGTATTCTTCAAGGGCAAGAAGCTAGAGCAGATATCTAGTTACTGATACAAATATTTAATGTTAGAGCCAGAGATAAGAAAGTTACAGAGATCGATTATCAGATAAAATATGCGATGTTTAACACAGCATGTTCTATTGTGTACAATTACTGTACACGACCAATCAGCAATCATCTGTATTCAGGGATATTTAAGGATCCTTTGGATCCGAAACACAAAATCTTCAAAAAAAAAAGACTGAATTCATAAATGTTATGTTTCATGTTTAAAATTGGAGTATTTCTTTAAAAGTTGTAAAACTTAACCCTTGAATGAGTATTTTATTCAACAAGTGGTCGTGAGATGGCACTCTAAAAACCTTTCGTAAAAACGTAGCATGTCGTGTCTGGTCAACTTAGGCTTACGTAACCCACCCTGTGAAAGGAGAGAAGCAGTGTGTGTAGTCTGTTGTTAAAGCTAGTGCGAAAGGGTCCACTGTAACTAAGGCCAAAGATTTTCAAAATTAGAAAATATTTGACATTGACTCAAGCTCACGAGTTAAAGTGCACATTAGATCATAAAAAGCGAGTATTCTACTTTATAAAAGTACAGAATAGAACTTGTGGTAAAAACTGAAATATTAAAACTCAATATCTTAGGTTAGTGCCTAGAATGTCTAAAATACAAGCTAAGAAGGTAGAACGAATATGATTAAATAATAGAACAAGATAAAAGATGGCTACAAATACTAACTAGCTCAAGGATATGGTATGCATATGATTAATAGCTCAAGATTTAAAATAATTAACTACATACTAGCTCAAGCAAATACTATAACTATGATTAATAGCTCAAGATCTAAAAAATTACAGATACTAACTAGCTCAAGTATAAAGTATAAATATGATTAATAGCTCAAGATCTAAAATAATACAAATATGAACTTGCTCAAGAGGACTAAGAAAAAGTCAATTAATAGCTCAAGATCCAGAAAAACTACAACACTAAATATAGGTTAATCTTACTCTAAATACAAACTAACTCAAGATCTAAACTAACTCAGTGGAANTCAAGATCTATTTAACTCTAAACACAAAATAACTTAAGGTCTAAACTAACTCTAAACATAAATCAACTCAGAATCTAAACTAACTCTAAACACAAATTAACTCAGAATCTAAACTAACTCTAAATACAAACTAACTCAGGTTCTAAACTAACTCTAAATGCAAACTAACTCAAGATCTAAACTAACTCTAAACACAAAATAACTCAAGATTTAAACCAAATCTACACACAAAACTAACTCAGGATCTAAACTAACTCTAAACACAAACTAACTCAAAATCTAAACTAACTCTTCATACAAACTAACTCAAAATCTAAACTAACTCTAAACACAAACTAACTCAGGATCTAAACTAACTTTAAACACAATCTAACTCAAAATCTTTGAACTAGTTTAAAATACTAGCTGAGAAGCTATATATCTGTATGAACTAACCTTAATGATGGTTGAATCCGTATGAGAGAGTGTAAAGGCAGCAACGGCGGTTTTATATTCATTCAAGTAAACACAAGCCAGGCAACTAGAGCTCTCACGACAAGCATCAACTATCACCAACCTAGATCATATTTAGTTTTCTCTCGTCTTTATCCAGTCCCACTTTAAACCTGGAGATTTGGTTTAATTGCATTTCTTTAACTTAAACTCGATTAAAATAAAAATACTATTGGTTTTCAGGTGCTTCGTTCCCCCCTTTTCTACAATAAATCTTAGCTTTAAAATGTTGGGGTTCAAGCAACCGTTTCATTTTCATCGTTCTTCAATAGATACATATTGTCGCGGATTTTTCTGTTCATATTAGTGGTTTTTTTCAAAAATCGTAAACGTGTTTCAATTTTGAACAGCAATGTACAGTGTACACCTTCCCTGGGATTATGCGAGTTACCACAAAAAAGTTTCGCCCGGTTGGTTCAGCCGTTTTGACATTTAATGGATAAAACAGATAGATAGACAAACAGATAAACCCAAATTTATAAAAAGGCACAAGACAAGCCTAAATTTAATTTACAGTTAAGGTTTATTGTTATAGTCAACATTTCCGATTGACTGCAAACGCCATGATTGGATTAGAGAAGTGTGGAAAGAGTGCGCGTTGGTTTAAACACTGAAATACTTATATTTTAAAATGAAATGTTTACCTGTCTAAAATATAAGGTTGCTTGATAACCTTAACTTTGTCTCCCTTCTTATTGATATATTTACAAATTAAAATCATATCAGTAAATAGTAAAATGTGAACATCTATCTTGGAAGACGACCCTTCTCTGAGTTTCAGGTCTCCTTCTTTGATCAGCTGTCTGGTTTGGTTTGGAAAACATCCCGGCATTGACGCGGTTAAATCAAGATGGCTGCTGCTAGCGAGGAGGCACTGAAGTTCTTCATCTTTGGTTTCCTAATTATAAAATTGTAAATGTGGAGAATGTGGAGTACAAAGACTGGATAAATTGATCCACTGAAGAGACTAAAACTTGAGACTTTGAAAGTTTTCAAACTTTGATCATTATTTATAGTTAACAACATATACTCTTTTCATATCAGAAACATTTCATGTAATTTTAAGTAATATCTAAAAGGATACCTACCCCTGAAAAAAACTTAATGGAAAAATATATCAAAACTTCCAAAAAATGTATTTGAGGTAACGAATGATGTATCTCAAGTCGCTAAATACCGTTAACACCTTTATTCTTTTTGTTCTTTAATAATTTTGAAGTTGTTTGATTTATGGACAAAACAACGTTTTTTCGTGAATTTTCAATAAAAAAATAAATTTTTGGTTTCTGACTATCAGCTAATCTTGACGTGCAATTAAAATTAAAATGTTTAAATTCAGTATTTACGACAAATCTTTGGATTTTTATCAGTGATTTTTTCCCGGGGTACATACATATGCTACTGACGCCCTAATTTCTAAGCAGGAAAAGGACAAGACCCATCTTAATATCTACTTACTATTGGTTCATAGGAGTCAATCTTTGCGATGATAGTTCTCAGCCGTTCCATCTCTTGTCTCTGTCTCATGTGGGAGTTAACATCTCGGACTAGAGTCTCCACGTGTCGGTCCTAGAGTAGAAATTATTTCAGATTTGTTTTCCACAAGACATTGCCACAAACTCAAATTTTTAAAACCATGTTTCTTTGCAACCTGTTGGCCTAAACCCTTGTTAGATTAATAGATCTAACAGAATTCATACTTTGAAAAATCTAAGGTCTCGGCATTAGGTTGCAAAGATATTGGAATTATAATTTGTGGCAAAGACCCAATTCCGTTCTCTGGCGAAATTTTTCGATAAAGGATCAAATACGTTTTCAATAAACCATAATTTTTATTTCTGTTTCTTTCTTTTCTATTCGTTTGAATCAATGAAGCTAAACCAGTAAGCCCTATATTTTTGTTTATAACTCAGGCCCATTTTTATATACATATACACCTCCCAGAAATTGCAGTATCCTTTTTGAAATAAAGATGTGGAGGGTGGTTGTATATACTTTTTGGTTTGGATTCAAATACAATGGTTTTCAAAAAAAATAACAAACAAAAATTTCCGTCTAAAAATGTATCATGATTGATTGTAAATAAGAAAAGTTTTGACAGTTTATAATTTTTTCACCAAATATTTGAGAAAATGGAGAACATTTCGCCAAAATCACATTTTTTTGCACTTTTTGCAAAAAAATATTCATCAAAATGAAAATTGGAAGAAAAGTAAAAAACACGAAAGTATTCTTATTCGTGTTCTCTATTGTGCCTTCTGTAAAAAGATGTATCATGTCCATATACAACCTTACTATAGGCTTATACAATAATAATGGTGGAGTAAGAAGTTTGGAATAATTTATTATCGGATTTACGTCAGACTTCTTCCTACCTCGCGGTATAGAATACATTTACCATGCAACATTGCAAAATAGAAAAAATATTAAAAATAGGAAAAAGTACATCTTTATAATGATCTACAATCTATATATTTATACTTTTCTTGTCTGTCTGTCTGTTTGTGTAAAATAAAGGTCAAAATGGCAAAACTGGTCGGGCCCAAATTTTGCATGGGACTTCACAACTCCCAAGGGAAGGTTTAAGATTATCAAAATTTCAAAAATTTGCCTCCAACAAAATTCGATTTTCATTAAATTTTGAAAATCCACGAACTTTTTCTTATAAAATCAGCGAACTTTTTTTGTTTGTGTTCTACAATGTATACAAAGAGAAAATATTCACAATTGAAATAGAAAATGGGCGGGAAGCGCCCTAAAAGCCTAGTCTTATAATAGATATATTAAAGATGTATTACATATATCATATTTATAATAAATACTTCTACTCACATCACATATAACGTTCCAAAAATCTAATTGTCTTTATTTCTTCTTGTTAATATTTTGTAGTTTTGTTTCATGCATACTGCAGCCAAGCCATGTCTCTTTAAAGATTATTCAAATACTGGAATATGGAAAAAAAACCATAGAAAAAGTTTCTAAAAATTTTCATAACTTCATTTATTAAATCCATCTCCTGCTGCCCAGGAGTGTTAAAAACTGTAATGAAATTAAAGTAAAGAAAGAGAAAAAACATTGTGTCCGTTGTTAAGAAATTAAGAAACATTTAAAAGCTAAAATAAATAAAAAGGTACTCGAAGCAGAGGCGTAGTCATGATTTGTTCCAGGGNGAGGGGGGGAGGGTAGCACACAAGGGGCAAAAAAAAACTGAAAACAATACACCATTGGACCATTGGAGTTTAAAAACCTGGACACCATACATTTACTGATCTAGGGGGGGCTAAGCCCCCGTAACCCCCCCTGCTCCTGAGTAAGTCTCTGGGGCCTAGAATGAAATCTGAGAGTTGAATTATATTAAGATTCTAGGTTAAGGAAAGGATTTGTAAAATAATTTCATACGCCCATTTTTCCTTCAAATAAACTATATAATTTAGCGAAGTCACTGAAAGGCAAGCTAGGCTTGGCCCAGAGTTAATACAAATAAATATAAAAATAGGTTCGGAGAAAAGAAAAGTCATTCTCCATTGTAAACAAACACTAGTATATATAAGTATTCACACATACACAAGCATAAAACCAATATTCAATAATTGTTACAATAATAATAACAATTCAAGTACCAGCCCCCAACCCCAGGGTGGCTGTAATTATAAATGTTATTTTTAGAATAAATTTCTAGCAAAATATAAACTTTACGCTACGTTCTTACATACTAGGGTTTTTTTTCTGGTAAACAAATTTGTGTTTATATGTTGCTTCTCAAATCTACATTTATTCTTCGTAATTGTAAAGCTCAAAAGGGCATTTTCAAAATAAATGGCTGTCGACATTTTTTTTCTGGGCAAAGTCTTTCAAAATTGGGATTTTATATTGATCTACCAGGGGTTGTAATCTGGCAGCACATTCATCCATACACGCTTCATTCATTCTGAGAAGAGGGTTGACAAGATTCCAGCTGCCTAAGAGCATCCTAAGCCCGAAAAAAATAGAGTGCAGGAATCCTTCTGATATACTGGAATGAGGCCCGGGTGCCATACTGATAGGAAACATCACACTCATTGCTCCCTAACATCTGTAAGCCCGGATTGGATACCCCCAGGTACCTATAGCTGGCAACCATAGACTCTCCCTGCTTGTCCACCATACCTCTCTTCATCATCATTCACTTGGATCAATCCCACTTGAAGCTTCTTTCTTGTTCAGTAGAAAGCACGCACCCTTTCGCTGCGAGAGTTGTTGACAGCCGCCCCTCTGTCCTCCTACATCCGTCAGGTGGTCATAACTGCTTAACTAGATGTCGGCTTCAGATGTTTTTAAAACCACAGGTTTGTGTGGAGTACGGGAGTCGAACCCGTGAACACCAGTCTGGACACCAATCCAGTTACTGGCTGTGGACAAGTGTGCTTAACTTCAGTGATCTAACGAGAACTGGTGTCACACACTATCCACCCCACCCCACTTTCAAAATTGACAAGCCATAAAATTTCCCAGATATGGGGTCATGTGAAATACCAAAAAGAAATAACACTAGTCGTAAATGGTTCAGAACTTCAGATGTATAATTGAAGTTAGAGGTAATGCAAAGCGTCCTAAGGAGCACAACAGTATAGGGTCCTAAAGTAGCACTGGAAGTAAAGGATCCTAAAGTAGCACAAGAAATAAAGGATCCTAAAGCAGCACTAGAAGTATAGGGTCCAAAAGTAGCACTAAAAATGTAGGTTCATAAAGTAGCACTGGAACTAAAGGGTTCTAAAGTAGCACTAGAAGTAGGGTACTAAAAGTAGCACTAGAAATGTAGGGTACTAAAGTAGTACTTGAAGTAAAGGGTTCTAAAGTAGCATAAGAATTAAAGGGTCCTAAAGTAGCACTAGAAGTAAAGGGCCGGAACCAAAAGTTGCACTAGAAGTAAAGGGTCCTATAGTAGCACTAAAAATGTAGGGTACTAAAGTAGTACTTGAAGTAAAGGGTTCTAAAGTAGCATAAGAATTAAAGGGTCCTAAAGTAGCACTAGAAGTAAAGGGTCGGAACCAAAAGTAGCACTAGAAGTAAAGGGTCCTATAGTAGCACTAAAAATGTAGGGTACTAAAGTAGTACTGGAAGTAAAGGGTTCTAAAGTAGCATAAGAATTAAAGGGTCCTAAAGTAGCACTAGAAGTAAAGGGCCGGAACCAAAAGTAGCACTAGAAGTAAAGGGTCCTATAGTAGCACTAAAAATGTAGGGTACTAAAGTAGTACTGGAAGTAAAGGGTTCTAAAGTAGCATAAGAATTAAAGGGTCCTAAAGTAGCACTAGAAGTAAAGGGCCGGAACCAAAAGTAGCACTAGAAGTAAAGGGTCCTATAGTAGCACTAAAAATGTAGGGTACTAAAGTATTACTGGAAGTAAAGGGTTCTAAAGTAGCACTAGAAGTAAAGGGTCTTAAAGTAGCACTAAAAGTATAGGGCCCTATATTAACGCTAAAATTAAAGGATCCTAAAGTAGCACTAGAACTAAAGGTCTCTAAAGTACCACCAAAAGTATAGGGTCCTAAAGTAGCACTAGAAGTATAGGGTCCTAAAGTAGCACTAGAAGTAAGGGTCCTAAAGTAGCACTAGACATAAAGGGTCCTATTGTACCACTAGAAGTAAAGGGTCTTAAAGTAGCAATAGAAGTAAAGAGTCCTAGAGAAGCACTAGTAGTAAAGTGTCATAAAGTAGCACCTGTAGCAAGTATAGTAACAACATCAAAGTAGCACCTGTAGCAAGTATAGTAACAACATCATCTATTTTTTTTTCGCTCAAAATCAAACTTACTTTACTTTCTACTTTGACTAACATCGACAAGATTTTTCCTTTGTAAAAATAAAAATACAAAACGGTCAACAAATTTTCTCTTTTTAAAATTTAAAAAGTAATCCATTCTCTATTTTGTATCAAGTTGTCTCCTGATCGTTCCCTGTAGAGTTGAATTTTTTGCATACTTTTAAATATTTAAAATGATTTTAGTTTCAATATTCAGACGAGTTGACAACTTTTGAATTTTCATTCTTGTCAATGGTTTCACATCGTACCCGTAGAAGATGGCAACATCCAAGGGTAAACAATACTTTAAAGTATGGTTTCCAGTAAAGGAAACATTTCGCGAAAAAATGAAGTAGTTTGAATTTTTTTTTTCACATATAGAGCGTCCTATATCATATTGGATATTTTTAAACTTTACACCAAAATATGCAAAATCTTTAAACCTGGTAATTTCTGCAAGAAAGCTGTCAAAACAAGCTATACATTCTTGAATGAATTTCTTTAAATTCTATGACTAGCCTCTAAGAAAAGTTTGAGCTAGAACAGATCTAATATGATGTGGGACACCCTGTAAACCAAGTCTTATCTCTGAATATGTTTTCTTTTCAATTCCAGCTAAGTTTGAGTCCCATTCTAATGCCAAATTTCGTCATTATCGATGCTCTCACACATCCTAACTGTGCTTTCTCTTCTAGAGAAAGTATGAGAAACGTCTAGCTTCTCAACGTCGATATGTTTTCACACATCCTAATTGTGCTTTCTCTTCTAGAGAAAGTATAAGAAACGTCTAGCTTCTCAACGTCGATGTTTTCACACATCCTAACTGTGCTTTCTCTTCTAGAGAAAGCATAAGAAACGTCTAGCTTCTCAACGTCGATGTTCTAGCACATCCTAATTGTGCTTTCACTTCTAGAGAAAGTATAAGAAACGTCTAGTTTCCCAACGTCGATGTTTTCATAATCTCAATCGAGCTTCCTTGTCTAGGGAAAGTAATTTTTGCATTTTTTCGCGAAAATTTTGCATTTTCTATTTCGCGAAAATTTCACACTTTTTCGCTTAACAGATTGAAGCAAAATTACGCGAAAAGATTTTTCCTTTTTCGCTGGAAAACCTACTTTAGAGACAACAGAACTTATTAAGTCTTTTTCCCCTAATTTAATGGTTACCTTTAGCGTTAAACCTTTTGAGTTCTTTACCAACTAATTTTGTTCACATAGAAAAGACTGATATCAAGATGTTTAACCCTCAGAACTTCAGATTTGAAAAAAAGACGTTTATTTTGAACGCAATTTTGCAGTTCTGGATTAAAGTAAAGAAGTTTAAATGTGCCTTTTTCATTAATTAACTCGTGGTAAATTATATTTGAAAACAAAAATACAAATGGAAATTTGTTTTTTGCGATGTTTAGATTCACATTAGTCCCTTTCAAAGATAATGTAAACAATCTAATAAATGGTTCCCCCACCACCTCCGTTCCCTAACTGAGTAAAATATTGGCGCAAATCCGTGAAATAATATTTGTTTTGTAAACTCACCATTTCTAGTAGATCTTTTCTTTGGTTTAAATCTTCTGTATTTTTAAGCACAGCCTTGAGGAGGAGAGAATACTTGGTGAGACGTTGCATTGGTCGAACCAGTATATCAACTAGGCGTAATCTGTTGCAGTCGCGCTGGGTCTCACACCACTAGAAATACAAGGGTTTACTTGGTACTATTGGTTGAACCAGTAGATAAACCAGGCATAGCTTATTACAGTTGAGCTGAGTCTCACACCACTAGAAATACAAGGGTTTAGTAGGTAGTATTGGTCGAACCAGTATATCAGCTAGGCGTAGTAGTAGGGTTTAAGTAGCATCTAAATGATCAACCACCAATGAAATCTTGTTTCCTATTTGTGACAATAAATTCTCGGAAAAAGTATTTCTTTTGAGTAATTGGTCAACTATTACGCCACAAGGAAATTCCAAGCTTTATTAACATAACAACTAATAGCTACGTAAGTAATTATGTAATTATGTAACTATGTAACTATGTAACTATGTTTCTTTATTCCTATGTTCCTATGATACTTTGTAACTTTGTAACTATGTAACTATGTAACTTTGTAATTTTGTAACTATATAACTATGTAACTATGTAACTATCTAACTATTTTAACTATCTAACTATGAAACTGTGTAACTATTTAACTATGTAACTATGAAACTATGAAACTATGTAGCTATGTAGCTATGTAGCTATGTAGCTATGTAGCTATGTAACTATGTACATATGTAACTATGTAACTATGTAACTATGTACACATGTAATTATGTAACTTAGCAACTATGTGTCTTAGCAACTATGTAACTATGTATAACTATGCACATATGTAACTATGTAACTATATAACTATGCACATATGTAACTGTGTAACTATGCACATATGTAACTATGTAACTATGCACATATGTAACTATGTAAGTAACTATGCACATATGTAACTATGTAACTATATAACTATCTAACGTACCGCAAGATAAGCCTTGAATATCTGATTATCTCTATCTTGTTGTTTACAGTACTGTTGACAGGCAGCTTGTTCAACACAATATCGGTAGTACGGGCTGAACAGTTCACAAACCTAAACATGTATATTTATATATATTAGAGATGATCAATTTATGACTGTTTTTTAGAAATCAGCCACCTAAAAAATAATGCGATCAAAAAAAATATTCAAAATCTTATGCATACGGTCACGATCCGACGATTTAATGTCGGAGAAATCATTACATAGGCCCCCAAAAAATAATTTAAAAAATTACATGTTACACCACATTTTCTTGGAAATTTTCGGCTGAATTCAAATTTGAAAACGAATTTTGAACATAAATAAACCATGGAGTTTTACAACTACTGTTTCTTTCATCCCGAAAATGTGCTACTGTTATCCCAAAAAAATATGATGAATAAGTTTACTTTATGAAAGATGCCATGTCGTCTTTAAAGGGAGTGTTTGCGAAAAATGAAAGAGGGTATAGGCTTACGTCGAAAAATATTTGATGGTGATTGCTACTAATCTTACTTCTATCTGTTGCGACACAAATTTAAAAAACGACTCATACCGAAGAACCTAGCGTCCATACAAATTTGCAATATTAGACTTGGATCGTAAAATATTAATTTTTTAAAAAATATTATGAAATATCAACTATATTTGAATGCGTCGAAAAATAATTTATGATATTACGATCCGATTCGAATATTGCAACTTTCTGAATTTGTATAGACGCTACGTTCTACGGAATGAGTTGTTTTTAACAATTTTCTCCTTATAGACGCAACAGATAGAAGTAAGATTAGCAGCAATCACCATCGAACATTTTTCAACGTAAGCCAATACCCCCTTTCAATTTTTTACTAACACTTTTAAAACTTGAAATTGATGCTGCATTCATCTTTGATTCGCATATAAAAGAACTGACATTTTACTGGACAATGGGGTCAGTGGGGTAAGCGCATGCCGCAAATTCATTTTGTGACGTCATTTGTGGGTCGAAGTCAAAACTAGTGTGAGTTGTCTTCCTCCTCGCTGTACAGTATACACTGCAGTTACTAGAAGCTCTGTTTCGTTAGTAATATCGAACTTACCGAGAGCATTTCGAATATATTTTGAACCTAGCTATGTAGATGATGTGTATGATGGATAAATAAATAAACAACATGTTTATACATTAGTACAGAATGCAGAACTGTACAGAATTTTTCTATTCTAGATATGTATTTGTTTCCATTAAGCACAAGGGAATATTGAAAAAGCTAAAAGTAATTTTCATTTTCTCATTTATTTAGTTTTTATCAAATAGATTATCAAGTACAATAGGTGGCAACAGAAAATAAAGAACACATATATATGCATTTATTTTACTGTAAGATAAGCACTTTATTCCAAAACTATTACTATTATTAATAATTTTGTCAGACAAAAAAAAACTAATTTGACACTTGTGACGTCAGAATACAGCTGTACTGAGACTACAAATTCTACGTTGCCATCTATTGTACTAGAAACTATTTAGTTTTTATATCTTACATATTTACATTTTACAGGGTGTTCTAACAAACATTGGAATTAAGAGACGATTTGAAAATCGTCTTCAATTTCCTATAGTTGATAAATGGCAAAGAGTTATCAAAATATAGACTTAATGTCTGTTGAGCTTTTGAAAATGAAGTCTGCCTTCTTAATATCTCCGTCAATTTCGAAGGTGCAAGACTAGTCGTTTTGACTGGAAAACTACAGAAATTGTATTCACGTAATAATACCACGCGAAACAAAGATTATTTGGAAGTCGTCACTTAACTCCCATGTTTATTGGGACACCCTGTACATAGTAAACAGTTGATTAAGCATTTAGATCATTATGAACATAGAAACTTGAAAGGGCTTTCAGAACTTTTGAACTCTATTTGTATTTGCTTAAAACAGTGGAGATAAAAGAGGCCGGAGAGATGTAGGGGCGAGGGGGGGGGGGGGTTCAAAATAGAATAAAAATTGAATTTGTATCCTCAATATAAAACCTTTAAAACCCTGCGGACAGATTCCGATTGAACCAGGTTTTATATTAAATTCATACCAGAGGAAGAGAAAGAAGGATAGTAGTTGTGTAAAAAGTGTATTAGAAATTCGAAATTTTAAGTTTTTCAACTTTAATTAAACCAGAGCTGAAAACTTTAGAATGGTGGATATCGAGATTAATGCTTTTTCTTAATCCCCAGATTAAATAATGCTTGTTCTCCTCTTCTTATTAATCTCCAGATTAATTAAACGATCGGGATTAAGGATATCCCATTCCAAAATTTTCAGCTCAGGAGCTTTTAGTATCCACCTTTGCTTTTCAGGGTTTAAAGTGAGTGAATGTTATTGTATGGTATTGAATGTGTAGTAATGTGGACAAATTTATAGGATTTATTTGAGACTTATAAAACGCTTCTACGACGTATATTTTCTGAGTTTAATCGCAAAATCATGAATTTGGGTGTGTACGTTTTCAGAATCGTTTTTTTTAAATTATTAAATAACGAAGACAAAAATGTAAACAAAATTCTACAGTAAACTAATTTGTTGTTTAGGAACGAGTTGAGAAAATAAAAATTAACTCTTATCATCGAAAATAAGTAATCTTATTCAATTATAAGTTTTTCTGCAGATTTGGAGAATTTGTAGAAATCTGCGAACAAATTCATAGAAAATAAAAAGAAATTCAATATAATGATGAGCCTAAACATCTAATTAGTTTACTGTATCATTTTTCGTAGTCATTATTTAATAATTTTTAGAAAACCGATTCTGAAATTTATGATTTTGCATGTCGACTTTGCACTTAAACTCGAAAATGACATAGTTTTGAAACTTCCTTGATGTATAATGCGTTTATCAAAAAGTTGAGACACGAAATCAACGAAGAAAAAAAAAGAAACATAATCTCTAATATCCTTCGTTAGACAGGAAGACATGAAAAAAGAAAAAGAACATCATGGTTAAACACGTGTCGACTGATGCAGTAAACCAAACTGTGCACGATATATCAATAAATTTAACAATTACTTTTTTTAACTGACGCTAGAAACAAGAGCGTTGGAACTCTAAAATGTCTATGTCTATATAGGAGAGTTGATAAGGTAGATCTGAAGGTCAAAGTGATGCGAATCTTGATGCATATTTTCATAGCGGTTCTCTGGTCAGGTCACTCAGAGGTGGAAAAAGAAAGGGAAAAATGAAAGGGTAAAGGATGACTGGACGTAAGGACAGGTTGCTAGGGGGGGGGGAACTGACATTTTACTGGACAATGGGGTCAATGGGGTAAGCGCATGCCGCAAATTCATTTTGTGACGTCATTTGTGGGTCGAAGTCAAAACTAGTGTGAGTTGTCTTCCTCCTCGCTGTACAGTATTAATATCACAAATACAGTGCATATCCTAGGTTACACGACCATTCAGTCTAACTATGCTATAACTGCAGCCAATGATGGTTCAACCCCAAATAGATCTAGACAATAGATGGCAACAGAGAAATGGACCAATCATACATGACGTCCCAAGTGTCAAATATAACAAAGAAGACAACATTTTCTCCCATCAGTTGGTATGCTTTCTAAAATTAAATAGAATAGTGTCTGACACATAAACCTGTTGACACTTGTGACGTAAGAATGCAGCTGTACTGAGAGTGTACAAATTCTACATTGCCATCTATTATACTTGATAATCTATTTTGGTCAACCATATCTTAACCGCGGCGATCGATCTTTCTCCACTTTCTTATCTTTCAATCACAAACGTTTTGTTTTAACGTTTCATTTTAACGTTTTGTTTTAACGTTTTATTTTATCGTTTTGTTTTTTTAAAGTTGTGAAGAAAAAATATCTTAATATATTTGCACTTTTCAACGAACAACTTTTCATATTTGATTCATACTTAATTCTGAGGAATAATTCAGTGTGTAATAATAATGTTTAAGAGAAAAGATATGATAGGGGAGGGGGTATGGGGTCACGGTGGGGTATTTTAGGGGGTCCCGGGAGGTGATTGGTGATTATTATTTATTTATATGGATCCTGTAATCCCCGAAATATTGTGTACATTAAAAAGGTCATAGGTCACAAATCTATGTAAGAAAGTCACAGGAAAAGGCTTCTGGAAGAAACCTGCAGGAAATAAAAACTTTGGTAAAAAAGTCCTAATTTTCTGAAGTCCTAGGACAAAATTTTATTGGAAATAAAGTTCAAAGTTTTAGATTCCTGGGACTTTTTTCCTAAAATAATATGGGGGCTGCCAATTAAGTCTCAGAAAATAAGATCACGGGGAATATATCCAAAGAAAAGTGTGTGACGTTTGCATAAAAAGGAATTCACTCCTATGCATCTGGATAATGAATATAGCCAGGGGTCTTTTTAATATCAATCCTCTTTCTTTCCATGGTTGTAAACATCCTTTGTTCCCATGCATTTTTCATTATAAGAGGATTTTCTTTCCGGGACTTTTATGTATGAAATCTGGAACCAGAAAAAATGACTTAGAAAATAAAGTTTCAAAATGGAAGGAGTTTAATTCCAGAGACTATTATTTCAATTACTTTTTTCCAATGGACTTTTTTAGTGCTAAAATTTAGGACTTGGTTTCGAAACACTTTTTTGACGGTCACCTAGGTGACAAATATGAGCCATTAAAAATTACAAACAAACATCGTCTCTAATGTCTCTAATTTGTGTTTAAAATTTTAAGAGTTTTCACGGAAATGACCAGTTTTCCGACAGATTTTAGAACTACAACTCAACATTATATGCTACTTAGAAACATCTCTCTCAAAAAAAAAATGCTCTGGCGACCGAGCCTTAATTGACTTAAATAAAAGGTTTATGATGTAAACTAAATATTGCTGACACCCCCCAGATACCCGTTGTGGGGGGGGGGGGATGAAAGTCCCAGCGTAAAAATTAAATTCAGAAATACCTGAGTAAACCCTTCCTTCATGAGAGTAGGATCTAACGGAGCTCGGGACTCTCTAGACTCCTAAACATTTATTCATTGAACAGTTTTACATTGACGTAAGGAAGTAGGGGTGGGGGAGTCTTGACTTGTACTTGGAGTATATATAAGTTTACGGAAGGAGCAGTATTGACTAGCACCTGTTGTTTTAGTTTAAGGAAGGAGCAGTATCGACTAGTACCTGGAGCAATACGAGCTCAAGGAAGGAGCAGTATTGAATAGTACCTGGAGCAGTATGAGTTCAAGAGTTCAAGGAAGGAGTAGTATTGAATAGTACCTGGAGTAGTATGAGTTCAATGAAGGAGCAGTATTGTTTAGTACCTGGAGCAGTATGAGTTCAATGAAGGAGCAGTATTGAATAGTACCTGAAGCAGTATGAGTTCAAGGAAAGTGCAGAATTAAATTAAGTACCTGGAGTAAGGGTAGAATATGATTCAACCAAAAGTTCTTGTTTGCTGAATAAATCTCTGGAATATTGCAGAAAAGTTTGACACTGTTTATCTCCGTTAATATCTGGTTGTTCTGAAGGTTACACAGACAGTTCAGGAACAACTAAATACAAAATTAAATATAAAACTAAGTTGAATAAAGGGGTCTTAACAAATTCAGCAAGTGAAACCTTTTAATTAACAGAGTAGGTTTATGATATTACAGGGTGGGTGAGGAGATATAGTATATAAATAAGTGAATCTTTGCCACAGACTCTTATTTTCGAATCCCTTTATCTGTGCAACCTAATGTCGTAGACCTTAGATATTTGAATCTATGAATTTTATCAGGTAAAATAATCTAAGTTTGAAATATTAATGTTTACACCATCATGTTGTAAAGACAAAGGAATTTTAAAAGTTTGAGTTTGTGGAAAAGACTCATTCCTTATAGAGCAACTTATATCAAACCAGAAATCTTAGTTATTTCTGTCTCCTGATTCTTACGGACTTCAACACGTTAGCTTTTATATAACTTTACTTTTTCAACATTAACTGTTTAACAATTTTGCTCAAATTATAACTCTGCATAACAACTTTTTTTTAAAAATTTGAATCTATTTAATTTCTATTAGAAATTTATGATTATCATATCATATCTTTTACATGGTCTTGAGAATTTAAGAGATTTAAACACGTTACTTGAATTTTCTTCTAGTTAACTTTTATTTACACTTCATAGATAGATAAACAGGGTTTTACAACAAGTGTTTTCAGAGCGGGAAATTCAAAAGAGTATCGTTCACCGAAAATCCAGAGTTTCCTTTTTGGTTTATATATATTTGTAAAGATTTGTATAAAAAATAGCAAATAAAAATGGAGCATAAAATATCATTTCTTAAAAAAATATTAATATCTTCAAAATACCTTTCAACCCATTAGTGAAAACCGGTTTCCGAAACTGAGTTCATAAATTAAAAATGGCCTCTTATACTGAACACTGTACAGTGTACAGTGTACAATGTACATTGTAAACAGGGAAAGATTTTTGTCTCCGACAAAAAATTCGTTGAATTTTTCCTGTATATCACAATGTATTGAAAAGATATATTATATTTTATTCCCTTGACCACTGACCAATGCTATTTGAAAATAAATATTTTGTTATAAATATTCTTTAAAAGAAGCTTTGAGCTTATTCAAGAATATTTTTAAAACTCTTTAGATTTATGTTTTCAAACTTTGATATCAATCTTAAACTGGCACCGACAAATATCGATATCAAAGAGGAATAATAATTTTAGATTTTAGCAGAAAACCTAATTTCCTATTCCCATTTTCTGCTTAAACAAAAAAAAATGAATTTTCATGGTCTAAACTTTCGGTTTCTGGTTCTAGTTTGTAAGATCCATGTAAAAAAAAAATTCTTGGTCCCGGTTCTAGTTCCAATTTGTATCTGAAGGACCTGTCAACTTCAATACCCATTGGTTCAAGGAAATGGAAGAATAGTTTCTCAAGGAGTAGAAGTAGCACGGTACAGTTAAACCAGCCAGGCGGAGACAATTATCAGAATACAGATCCGCAGATCAAAAAATACTATTGATTCCTGGCATATGGAAAATGAAGCCTTGGATTAAGAAGATGGAAGATAAATCCTAAGATTAGGAAGATGGAAGATGAATGCTAGGTGTTAAGTTTAACATTACTCTTTGTATGGAAAGACGACATTTCTTACTATGTAACTACCTGTGTACTTTATATAGTGCTTAGCTCACCCCAGTTCAAGTTTAACCTTCACTCAGTATGAAAGAAAAGAGTGAAGGGTTTTTATTCTTTTTAGAGATTCCTGAACTAAATTTGGTAAATAACATTTATTCAATTATTTTAATCTTATTCATTAATAACAACAATTGCAATTATAACCTAATTAATTATTTTTATCATTTCAGTATGTAAACAAAGTGAATGTGAGAGAATAAATGAATAAAGACTTTTTGATCATTTCTCCCACTTGCAAAACTATTAGCAAGGGTAAATATACTGACTAGGATCTGAACTCCTCCTATGTCCAGTACACTAGGATTAAGTAGATGGAAGATAAATCCTAGGATTAAGAAGATGGAAGAGACGAATCCTAGGATTAAGATGATGAAAGATGAATCCTATGATTAAGAAGATGGAAGATAAATCCTAGGATTAAGAAGATGGAAGATAAATCCTAGGATTAAGAAAATGGAAGTTAAGTCCTAGGATTAGGAAGATGGAAAATGAATACGAGGATTAAGAGAATGAAAGACCATTATGATCGTTCCTTCCCCTAACGTTGCCTCTAACCCTCTCTCCATTAGTTGTTGATTGATTGATTGAGTTGTTTTTCTACAATGTTTGATTCTGATTGCACCAAGAAAAAATGCTCGCAGGTAAATTAATGTTTTAAAGCTATAAAGAAAGAAATAATAAAAATAATAAAAATAATAATAAATTAAAGAGACTGTGGTAAAAAAATAAACGCAGAATATTTATCCATTTACGCTGTCAACTCAAAAGTTCTTTTCCTTCCAGTTATAAAATCTACAAAAAACGCAGAACATTTATTTGATTATAACGTTGTCAAGTCAAAATTTCTTTTCTTTTTCCAATATTGGCTAACATTGAGCTCAACTCTAGCTGTTAATACAAATATAATCGATTCACACTCAGTGCCTTGTGGTCATTAATAATATTTTAACAAAAGTACATAAATTAGGGACGAATTATGTAACACATTTGTTAAAACCTCTGATTTTATGAGATTTAATGTTAAAAGGTTAAAATTAGGTCCAAAATCTTTGTTTTGTTTTCGATTCTGCCAGAAGTTTTTTGGCTTACTTTCGTTTGAATTGCTTCACAAAAAATATGTTTTAAATAAATGTTCTCTAATAAAAAGTTAACTCTTGTTAATCATTGTAAATCGGGAAAAAATGTTAATACTTTTCTTAAGCATACCTTTAAAAAAAAGCATAAAGCTGTCCCGATCTAGGTTGGCTTTTATAAATATACTTTGCTTGTCCATCTGTCCCTTTTATATCCAATAAACGCAGAGTTTGAATCAGCGCTTGGAAAGGGGGGGAGATCAAACTTCCAATAAAACTGTGATTCAGCGGAAAAAGCACCGAGCGAGAAGGGAGCGCAGGGGGGCAGTGTCCCCGCAAAATGTTGTAAGGAATTAGCATTAAAAGTGCTCAAAATAGAAAATTACTCATAAAATATGTAAAATTATTGCTTTAGAATTTTACTTAAAATTTTTTCACTCAGCCATCTTAAACAAGAAAAATATATTTATACTATAGAAGGATATATCGGATAGCAAGGTAATTAGGATATCTCAGTTAAGAAAAAAAAAACTTTTATAACAAATACTATCGATTGTTTCGTTTTTTGTGACTAAAAACTAAAATGTGCTTCAATATTAAAATCATAATAAACTTAATTCTTAAAATAGGAAAGAATCATACTCTACGACTTACAGGGGTTGTTAAAATTCAAAATCCATCGAATTGATGAAAAGTAAAAACATTATGATTTATCAAGAATATACGAAGTGACTGCAACCCTCTGAAGGAACACATGCACAAGAAATTTTCCAGGAGTGGGGGGAAAAAATTGAGTTAGAGCACGCAAAGCGCGCCGATACTTTTTATCCCCATCTCTGGCAAAAAATGTCCCCCCACGGAATGTTTTACAGAGAATGTGGTCATTTTTATTTTATTTGGTTATTTTAATTTTTACTCTTGACCCCCACTTTTTTCAAAAAGGGGGGTCGTCGACCCCTTAACCTCCCCTGGATCCGCGCCTGGATAAACGTCAAAACGGCTGAACAGATCAGGCCCAAATTTTGTGACATGGCCCCCGGGAAGGTTTATGGATGCTTAAAATTACAAAAAGGAATTGAGTCTTTGCCAAAAAATTAATTTTTCTAGTCTCTATATATCCTCGCAACCTGATGGGTTAAACCTTAGATATTTCAAACCTAAATTATTTGATCTAACATAATTTATAGTGTAAAATATCTGCGAGTCTTCAAAGTTGGGTTGCAAAGATATGTAGATTAGAAAATCAGATTTTGTGACAAAAACTCAATTCCTTTGCGTCCAAAAGTTTTCGATTTTTGTAAAATTTAGAAAATGCGCGAAAAAATATTATTAAATCCTCTATTTTTTTTAGTGTTTTATATTGTACTAAGCGAAAGTGCCTTAAAAGTCTTGTCATAATATATTTTACCCTCAAACTTCCTTCTCCTTCCCTTCCCTTTTCACATCCCTCCCTCTCAATATTACAAATTAAATCTATAAGACAAGAGAAATAAACTAATAGACACGTACTTTTTGGTTCTCTCATGAATCGATTACTTTTCATTGAACAGCGTGCATTGCACACTCTACGAGCCAAACGAGCTATATTATTGGCATAATATGATTTGCCGATTGTTTAAAAATAAACATAGGACAAATTTTAATTATCGAAAGTAATTTGTATCAACGCTTTTTCATCGTCTATGCAAAGTTTGCTATTTCTTGACGGGTTGGCGAAAATATTGGTTCGCAAAATATTGGATTGCGAAAAGTCTTCGTTATTGTTTGTAAAGAGTAACAGTTTGATGAATGATAATAAATTATGTTTCCTGTTTGCATGCTAGCTCTGATTAAGGAAAGAACACCAGAAGCAGTCACATCTTTGTTTATATAAAAAGTGTACTGCAGTTTCTGGGAGAAATGTAAACAAACTCGTTACTGCTTCTTAGACCAAATTTTCTTTTATATTCCTCCCAAAAACGGTAGATTAGTGTATTACAAAGCTCTTTGATTCCTCCCAATAAATATAGGTCACTTATTTCGTATTTTAATAAAATGTCTGCTTAACAAATTCTTCCTATCCTACTTTTTTTCCTACCTCTTCCTATCCTCCCTATTTTATCCTACTTATCCTACCTATTATTCCTATCCTACGTTTTTTCATCCTATTTTTATACCTCTTTATGTCCTCCCTATTCTATCCTACTTATCCTTCCTATTCTTCTTATCTTACCTTTTTTCATCCTATTTTTTCTACCGTTTCCTATCGTACCTTATCCTACTACTCTTCCTATCCTACCTTTTCATCCTACTTATCCTACCTATTCTTCCTTTCCTACCTTTTTTCCTCCTCTTTATCCTACCTCTTCCTATTCTACCTGTTCTGTCCTAATTTTACTACCTATTCTTCCTATTCTACTTATTTTTTCCTACTAACCTACCTTTTCTTCCTATCCTAATTATTCTATCCTACTTATTCTTCCTACCCTTCCTATTTGTCCCATCCGACCAATTCCTTATCCTACCTCTGTAATAATACTTACATCTTGGATAACTTTAAGTGTACGAATATACGCCAGCTCCGTGTTAATCAGCTCCCAGAGCGCAGTCTGTTGGTTCCGAACCTTCTCCGATAGGTTCTCCGCATCTACTATATCCGTCCAGTCCTCCTCTAGGCTGTATAGAGCTGAAATATTAAATATTAGAGCAGAGATGAAAAACTTTCGTGATGAAAGGGCTTAAAAGTTTTATCTTTCGTCCTTGTATTTTCATATATCTACGTACATTGATTTCGATTTTTACTTTTCTTCAAACAAAATAAATTAAAAACATAATTCTTTTAGAGATCTTTTTAAATGAGTAGAACGCTTTCTTCAAGATTGAAACTTACATTTCATAACACTACAAAACTGAAAGGGACTCTATATGCAAAGATGGCAATTCCCGATTCACAACGGTACTCTTAAACCCTTTGACTATTCAGGATTGTCGGACATATTCTCATTAATCTACGAAATAATGAAAACAACATTTTTTCAATGTTTTATATCTTCTTCAATTATGAAGATACAAAGAAGGCAGACCACATTTTCAAAAGCTCATAAGACGTTTAGTCTTTGTTGTAATACACTGTTTGTCCATTCTCAAATATCATAAATCGACGAGGATTTTTTTTCTCTTAATTTAACACCCCGTAGAAAAAATAATAAAAATTACATTTAATATTTATATTCTGCCTAATATGCAGAAGTGGTTTATTGTTTAACAAATCATTCTATAAACATTGCATTACTTTAAATAAGTTCAAAATCGTATTAAACAAAAAGTCTCGAATTTTTTATTTAGATTTGAAAACTTGATTTGTATGAATATCTGAATAGACCTAAATGAGCCAATAAGATTTTATTTGAAGATTTTCAAAAAATTGTCCACGGCCCACAAATAGCCCAATTACGCCTCTCATCATTTAGAAATAATTTAAGTCAGTTTTTGACATTTCAAAAGGGAGTTTGAGACGTAAGTGTAATTTCAAGTGACATTTTATGACAATACTCGTTTCACAATGGTACCTTTGAAACCTTTTTCTGATCAATAATGTGGAAGATATTGTCGTTTTTCTAGGTTCTATATTATTTAATTCTGATAATTCCCACTTTTTTTCCTGTTATAGTAGACAGTCATTTTAGTAGAGAAACTAAAATAAACATAAACATGGATATCTAATTCATATTTGATGGGACAAAGCTGTTAAGAGTGCGGTTGTGAATCGGATATTCCCAGGTTTACATGGAGGGTCACTTAAAATAATGTTCACGTTTTTATATTTTTGTTCTACGGTTTAGTCAATCCGGGATGAAATATTACCCCTCCCTCTTCTCTTTAGCTCTCTACGCGGTGTAAACCTAGAGAAAAAAAACCTCTAAATGTTCTAGAAGAAAAATAATAATTAACAAAACGTTTGAATCTGTTTCTGGCAGAACCTGTGCAAACTAGAAATAAATATGATTTTGTAATAAATGTTGAGAAATAAAACTGGAGCTGAAATATTAGACACCATTTTTGCTTTAAGGGGCTTTTTTATGTGTGATTTAACATCCTTTAACCCCCTCCCATACTCATTTGTCCCAATCCATAAACCTCCATTTTTAATTGGCAAAATTCTGACAACAGTTTTGTCTAAAAATTATTTTAATAATGGTGATTCATTTGTTTGTATTTCATTGGCGTACTTGGCTAAACGGTTCTTGCTCCAGCGATAATCCGTCCTAATCCTAGTTTTACTATGCAAACACCAACCCGGATATAGGAATACAAATATTAATACAAAACCTAAATATATAGAATATCAGAACATTCACTAGGTGCCATTTGTTTTAAAAAGTGCCAAGTTTTGAGTAGTTAATCCAATTAATCACAGCTAATTTTGAAGTTACTATAGTAGTTAAACCTAACCAAATATAATTGGTTTAATCTCAATATAGGTTTCTAGTAGTTAAACCAAACCAAATATTATTGGTATCTTACTAGTAGTTAAACCAAATTTAATTGGCTTAATCTTAATATAGGTATATATAATATACCTTCTTCAACTCTATCCTCTGCTAAATCTACATTATACACATACCTTCTTCAACTCTATCCTCTGCTGAATCTACAAAGGATGGAAGATGATGAAGTTTAGGAATCCCAAGTCTTGAATAATTATCCAGTTGAACCACAAGATCCTCCATCTTTAAATCCTAGAATAGAATAGGATAGGAATATTGAAATAGGTTCTGTATATCCTAGAATAGAACAGGATAAAAAGATTGGAATAGGTTCTTCATACACTAGAATAGAATAGGATATGAATATTGGAATAGGTTCTGTATACACTAGAATAGAATAGGATATGAATATTGAAATAGGTTCTTTATATCCTAGAATAGAACAGGATATGAATATTGAAATAGGTTCTTTATATCCTAGAATAGAACAGGATATGAGTATAGGAATAGGTTCTATATACACAAGAATAGAATAGGTTAGGAATATTGAAGTAGGTTCTGTATATCCTAGAATTGAACAGGATAAGAAGATTGGAATAGGTTCCTTATACAATAGAATAGAATAGAATAAAAAGATTGGAATAGGTTCTTTATACACTAGAATAAAATAGAATAAGAAGATTGGAATAGGTTCTGTATATACTAGAATATAACTGGATAAGAAGATTGAAATAGGTTCTGTTTACACTAGAATAGAATAGAATAAGAAGATTGAAATAGGTTCTGTATACAACTCTATAGAATAGGATAAGAAGATTGAAATAGGTTCTGTTTACACTAGAATAGAATAGAATAAGAAGATTGAAATAGGTTCTGTATATCCTAGAATAGAATAGAAAAGAATAAGAAGATTGGAATAGGTTCTGTATATCCTAGAATAGAATAGGATAAGAAGATTGGAATAGGTTCTGTATACACTAGAATAGAACTGGATAAGAAGATTGGAATAGGTTCTGCATACACTAGAATAGAATAGGATAAGAGTATTGGAATAGATTTTTGAATCTATATATCCTAGAATAGAACAGGAAAGAAGATTTGAATAGGTTCTGTATATACTAGAATAGAATAGGATAAGAGTATTGGAATAGGTTTCATATAATGTATATACTAGAATAGAATAGGATATGAAAATTGGAATAGGTTCTGAAAATCTTAGAAAAGAATTTGATGAATTTGAAGATTGAAATAGGATCTGTATATCCTGAAATAAATAGGATAAGAAGATTGGAATAGGTTCTAAATATCCTATTATGGATAGGGTATGAAATATCTTGATATCTCCAACCCTCAGAGTTGATGAGTTCCAAACACATAAAGTGATAAAGAGATATTATCGTATCAGAAAAAAGGACTTGTAAAGAAAAGACCTAAGTTATCGTCCTATTCCCCTATGAACTCCTAAACCGCTATTACAAATATTTCTTATGCCGCACTAAATGATTTGTTAGTGTTTTGAATTTCCCTAGAAACCACTAATGGTTTTCTGCTTTTGAAATAGTTTTTATGTTCTAGTTAAAATGATTAAATGTTAAATAAAGTACATTACGGTATTAATAAGCGGAAGAAAGATTAGAAAATATTTTGCAAAAAAATCCTGTTTTTTACAATACAGGATATTACCTTTGTTTTAGGTGTATAGAAATCTTAAACTGAGAAAGGTAAAAAACTCGAAGCGAAGTCAATTTTCTAATCCATGTCTTTGCAATTTAATTTGTCGTTTCACTTCGACATTCTGCTGGATGAAGCAAGCAAAGTTTGAAATATCAATAGTTTACACCATCAGATTGCAAAACTTCAGGGATTAGATTACTAAGAATTGGACAGTATTCAGTTCCTTAACCCCCGGTCGTGCTAAAAGCACGGATTCAATCTATTTCGAGAAGTAATTGTTGTTTTCAGCTCTTTTCTAAACTTAACTAGGTAAGGTTGGGAGGGGGGGTGGTAATTATAGAAAGCAAACTGTTAAAATTGCATGATTCAAGGTTTCTGCATAATAAACCCTGACACCTTGGCTAGGCAAAAATAGAATTAGTTTCTGACAAGGGTCTTTAGGTTTCAGGGTCCTTAGATTTCAGGGTCCTTAGGTTTCAGGGTCTTTAGGTGTCAGGGTTTTTTAGGTTTCAGGGTTTTTTAGGTTTCAAGATCTTTAGGTTTCAGGGTCTTTAGGTATCAGGGTCTTTAGGTTTCAGGATCTTTAGGTATCAGGGTCTTTAGGTTTCAGAGTTTTTTAGGTTTCAGGGTCTTTCAGGTTTCAAGATCATTAGGTTTCAGGGTCTTTAGGTATCAGGGTCTTTAGGTTTCAAGATCTTTAAGTATCAGGGTCTTTAGGTTTTAAGGTCTTTAGGTTTCAGGGTCCTTAGGTTTCAGTGTATTTTAGGTTTTAGGCTCTTTTAGGTTTCAGAGTTTTTTTTAGGTCTCAGAGTCTTTTAGGTCTCAGAGTCTTTTTGGTCTCAGAATCTTTTAGGTTTCAGTATCCATGTCTATTATTTACCTTGGTGGAGCCTCCCCAGAGTCCACTCCATCTGTTTCCTTGTTTATTTGTCCTAGGAACCTTCAAGGATCCGTCCGAGGGGGTTAAGGTTCCATCTCCGGCCCAGGTCCCTCCTGCTCCTCCTCCTCCTCCTCCTCCTCCAGCCTCCTCGACCGATAAGGAATTAAAGAACCTTTGCTTTCCTCTATAACTCTAAAAAGAAAAAAGTTTTTGATAAAATCAGTGTTTAGTATTAAGATACAAAAAGAGTATCAATAGGCATTAAATGTCAGAAAATCCCTTGGTTTGTTCAAATTATAGAAATACCGAATTTTGGGGATATCTCACAAATTTTTGTTCCTAAGCGTTATCTTCGTAATTTCGACTATATGTTCGTAATTTCGACGAAATGTTCGAAATTTCGACAAACTTTCGTAATTTAGACAAAATGTTCGTAATTTTGACAAACTGTTCGTAATTTAGACGAAATGTTCGCAATTTTGACAAAATGTTCGTAATTTTGACAAAATGTTCGTAATTTTGACAAAATGTTTGTAAAATAGACGAAATATTTGTAATTTAGACAAAATGTTCGTTATTTTGACATAATATTCGTAATTTCGACGAAATTTTCGTAATTCAGGCGAACATATTAAAACAATCGCTAAAAATAAATAGTTAAAAAGTAGGTTTTTTTTCAAGATGTACGCATGATGTGGGGTATTCTTGAAGGAAAGTTCCTATCTAACCATTCTAGCTTCAGTATCATGGCTAGAGTCATATCTAGGTATAAATATTGTACAATGGTAGGTGCGGATCTAGAAGGATATATTTTTAAAAGCAGAATCCCACTTGAGCTTCTGGAACGCATTCTGCATATAAATTATTCTTCGCTAATTACACCGCAGGAATGAATACAAAGAAAAGGGAAGGGGGGGGGGGTGAGTTCAAGAAATGTTGAAAAGGGGTTTTAAGTGGTTGATGATAAGAACAACACAAACAAGTGATGATACAATATAAGGTGGATGAACTAGGCCACATTCATACAATATGTTTCGTAAAATATAGAAAAAATACATCCCACACGTACAACCTTACATACATTGTTCTCAACAAAGGAAGAGAGATTCCCAAAAAGGGATGCCTGCTAAGAAACGGAACTTTGTACACTTTTTTGTAGAAAAAAATCAGACCAGTAGCTAAAGGGGGGGGGAGCACAGGGAAGCACACTATCTGAGACAAAAAAGAAGAAAATTAAAAAATTAAAAGAAGGAAACGAAAAATGAAAGAAAAAAGGAAAAAAGGGGAGGACATCTTATTTGTGTAACCAAAATTACATATTATGTGTAAAGCATCATTTTCTATTTTTCAGAAATATTGAGTGCTTCCTGAAATAAATTATTTGGGAATTTTTATTCCAATCCTGTCTTGTGAAACGACAGGGTTTAAATTAATTTTTTTTGTATTTTGAGAAGCTTATCATTTTCCTTCTTTTATTAGATTAATGATTCTATGAACCATTGTACAGGAAAAAGTAACATGATATCAAATTGAAATTTTATATAAAATATTGCCAGGTTTAAGAGAAGCTGTTTGTACTCATCCTAAAGCTTGCAAGGGGAGTTTTTTTCGAACTTTATGGGAAAACTGAAGATTTTCATGCTTGAGCGTTCATTGATCTTTTCTTGATCTTTTCTTGATCTTTTCTTGATCTTTTCTTGATCTTTTCTTGATCTTTTCTTGATCTTTTCTTGATCTTTTCTTGATCTTTAAAGGCATTTACAATATACATCTTTTACTTTCCTTCTATTAAAAATAACTATTTGTGATTCAAAAATTTTCCTTAACTTTTATTTATAATTCAAGTGAAATCTCAATGTGCATGTTTTACCTCCATTTTTTTTGTTTTCATTTTCATTTACCTCCATTTTTTTTGTTTTCATTTTCATTTACCTCCATTGTTTTTGTTTTCATTTTCATTTACCTCCATTTTTCAATACCACTTAAGGGAGAGAAAACATAATGCAAAACAGGAAATTAATATCTATAATAAAAAAACCACAATGTGTGATAAGTTAAAAATCTAGTATAATTTACTCTTTGCGTCGCGCAACATAATTACATATATCTGGTATTTCTGAAATTTGTGCCCATCCACCCCTTTACAAATTCCTAGCTCCGGGCCTGTGGCACAGTGATCCAAAGATTACAACTAGGGTTTCCATGAGATGACCATATTTTTTGCGCAAAATTTGCCTAATTTTGCGCAATTTTTTTTGTGAACTTTTGCGGATCTTTTGCGCATGAATCGCAATAAATTTCGCAAATTTTGCTTATTTTTTTGGGTAATTTGCGAAAAACCGAAAGAATTGCGTAAAACTTATTTTTTTTTCTCGCAAAACATGATATTTTTTAGCAAATTGATATTTTAGAACAAAATAAAACAACAGAAGTTTTATTAAAATGATATTGCTACTCTGAATTGTTTAATTTAATAGTTACAAAACTTTAAATTGAGGGACAAAAATTAATAAAAGAAAAACTAGAAAATTGAAATTTATTCATAGTTTTTTTAGATGCCTGAATCTTTGTGTGATGGCAACCTTTGGTATTTGGAATATTGACTACTTCTAGTCAAATGTATATGATTGAAATATCAAAGTCTATGTCCACTAAGATATAGACATTGACAACCCGAAGTCATATAAAGGAATTGAGTCTTTGCCACGAACCCAAATTTTTGAATCCCTTTATCTTTGCAACCTGATGGTTTGAACCTTTGATATTTCAAACTTAGATTATTTGACAAAACACAAATCACAGTTTGAAATATCTAAGGTTTACAACATTGGGTTGTTCAGATATAGGGATTAGAAAATCAAAGTTTGTGGCAAAAACTCAATTTCTTTCTATATTTCTTTTTACGCGTCTTTTTCTAGCTTAAGTTTTAAAGGAGTAGTTGGCGAAATACTGCTCCATTTAAAGTAAAGTTTTAGGCAAAAATCAGTTCGACCTTTTAAGCATATATGTCATAAATTGCAATTTCATAGATTATACTAATTTGCACAGTTTACACATTCAATCAACCTTTACTATTATTTCGCGCACAAATTGCGCAAAAGTTGTGCGAATGGGAACCCTAGTTCCAACCTCTCACGCAAAAATCAATGCGCATTTTGCGAATTACATTTAAAAAACTAAGATAAAAAACAAGTGGCTAGAGTTCTCAAATGTGAAAGTCTAAGGCTACTTAGAGATGTTGCAACGTTTTAGCCTTTGCTTTATCCTTACCAATTCAGTAATACTTTTTTTTGTAAATCTAGATTTGTACATTTTCATCGCGCTGGTTTTTAGCGTCCGCTTAAAAGAAGTAATTGGCAAAAGCCTAAATGATTTTTGCGTTCATACTTTGGGTTAGAGTAGAATACCGTGCTGACAGCTCTGCAAAAAATGAGAAATGTAAAGTTTCTAGTTTGCTTTCATTAAATATTAAATATATATGAGCTACTTTAGTTTTTTAGAAAAATGTTTTAATACTTTGCAACAATGTTCTCTAATCCTTGGCCGGTAGAGTACGGAAACAGGAGGAGGGGGAAAGGGTGGCGTGAGGAGGGGGATGGGGTTGGGTAAGAAGAATAATTGAGGGGAGGGACAGAAATAAAAATATGAAAGGAAGAAGCGATATATGGAAGGAAAATGGCGGGGGGAGGGACACAGGCAAGGGAAGAATAGATAGGAATAGAAGAATAGATAGGAATAGAGGAATAGGAAGGAACAGAAAAATTTATAGGATGAGAAGAATAGATAGGAAATAGAAGAATAGGTAGGAAAAGAAGAATAGATAGGAAGAGAAGAAAAAATAGGAATATAAGAATAGATAGGAATAGAGGAATAGGTAGGAATAGAAGAACAGGTAGAAAGAGAAGAATAGATAGGAATAAAAGAATAGGAAGGAATAGAAGAATATATAAGAAGAGAAGAATAGGTAGAAAAAGAAGAATAAATAGGAATAGAAGAATAGATAAGAAGAGAAGCATAGATAGGAAGAGAAGAATAGATAGGAAGAGAAGAATAAAAATGAACAGAATAATATATAGGAATAGAAGAAAAGATAGGAAGAGAAGTATAGATAGGAAGAGAAGAATAGGTAGGAAGAGAAGAATAGATAGGAAGAGAAGAATATATAGGAATAGAAGAATAGGTAGGAAGAGAAGAATAGATAGGAAGAGAAGAATAGGTAGGAATAGAAGAATAGGTAGGAAGAGAAGAATAGATAGGAAGAGAAGAATAGGTAGGAAGAGAAGAATAGATAGGAATAGAAGAATAGGTAGGAAGAGAATAGTCGATAGGAAGAGAATAGTCGATAGGAATAGAAGAATAGGTAGGAAGAGAATCATAGGAAGGAATAGGAGTATAGGTAGGAAGTGAAGAATAGATAAGAAGAGAATTATAGGTATAAAGAATAGGAGTATAATTGAATATGGGGGGATATATGTAACGGAATTGTAGAAAGGGCTCTGTCATACAGCAATGATGATTAGTTGTATGAAGTTTAATTACTAAGATATTGATATCTATGTATTCAATCTATTGCATATGTCCCTGTTTATCAGCACTTACAAGGTATTGCATATTTAAAAGTAGATCCGTTTCCACAGTGCACAATATCACTGCCATCTCAGAATGTCCTGGATTGTGAAAGCTGTTCTATCCACCTGGCTTGTCCTATCACTGGGATTATCATGTATCTAGTTTGCAGTTAAAATCAAAATAATCGAGTGTTGATGTTTTGTTTGATAATTTTACTACCAGAAAATACAAAAAGAAATTTGAATTGCATTTAAAAAATTATGTATTGCAACGGATTTTTTTTTTAATTTGAAGTATCAACGTTATCTTGAGCTCGTTTAACCTTGTTGTCCTATATATCATTAAAAAAACCAGGACATTTTCAATTTTCAGGGATCGGAAAATGATTTTGGTACTCAGATTTTTTAAAAAGATTTATTAACAAAAAATTGAGTTCAGAAGGAAAGAATTTTGTAAACGAAGAATAGTTTTTTTTTAAACTAACAATTGGAACAAAAATAGATTTCATTAACTCTGGTAGCATTTTTTTTCAATGATTCCAGTGTACAGAATTATTTTAGTAGATTTTTATGTGCTTAAAAACTTCTTTATTGCATCTATCAATGAATTCTTTAAAATCTTTTTAAAGAAACAAATTTATTTAAGCTTTGAGCTGAATGAGTTTCTGCATTCTTTCAATAGAGTTGGTTAGATGCATCAATATGATGAAAAACTAAATTCTTTAAAAAGTTTGTACAAATAAGATTCTTAAAGCACTGCAAAAACCATGGTTAGGGTATAAATGTATGCTCTTAATAAGTTTTTCTTATTTATACAAAATATTTGTTAATATGACATTGGACCTCCTAAAAGCATTTGATACTTTAAAAATATTATAAATTAGGATCCTACAAAATATAGTTGCAAAGTTCAATGTCAATTTAGTTCTAGAAAATATAAAATCTGGTGGGGAAAATACAAAATTCATATTTTACTGCAGATCCTTCATTTTAAATTAGAAATTTAATTAGATTTCTAATTGAATCATGCGCTTGGAAATTCTATGAGAAAATGTGGTTTGAATTGGGATGCATGACTCATCTTTTAGTACTTACAGACCCTTTAAGATATAGACCACAAACTAGGACTCGTGTCAAATAGTGTTATTTCAAAAATGGCCTTTTATAATCCGTATGCTGTAAAAAAGGACGATTTTTAAGGTCTTTAGGGAAAGATGTACCTCAATGAAATAATGTTTTTCCCCTTTTCCCATATTGAAGCATTAAACTGTCTGGAGACACAATTTCAAGTAAACCTCAATGTTAAAAAATTAAGTCTACAGTCCCATTAAACTAAATTTCATTCCGTAATAAAGCAGGTTTTCTTTAGTGAAAAATCAAAACTGAAGGAGGTGTAATCCTATTTAAAACGAGTTCCTATCTGAGATTGAGGTTGGAATAAAGAACCCTCAAGTATCTCTAGCCCTTTTTAGTTACTCTGGAATGCACGGGCAATGCCTCCCATCGAAATAACTCAAAATTCCTAGTCATCTAAGGAGAAAACCAGGAATTTACTCAATATTTTCTAGACAAACAGTTCTTCTCATTAAAATAAATTTCCAAGAAGATTTAAAGAAAAGTTTAGAAAAGTTTAGAAGAATAGATGGGATAAAATATCTTGAACAATTCAAATTTATTTTAGATTCGGAAAAGTTTCGTAATTGGATTCTTTAAAGAAGGTGATCAGTGTTTTCGAGAACAGGGCTGACACAGTTTGTAAACATCTAGGATACATTTAGGATACATTAAGGATACAGCTAGGATACGGGTAGAATACAGGTAGGATACAGGTAGGATACAGCTAGGATACAGGTAGGATACAGGTAGGATACAGCTAGGATACAGCTAGGATACATTTAGGATACATCTAGGATACGGATAGAATACAGGTAGGATACAGGTAGGATACAGCTAGGATACAGCTAGGATACATTTAGGATACATCTAGGATACGGGTAGAATACAGCTAGGATACATTTAGGATACATGAAGGATTCAGGTAGGATACTGGTAGGATCAGCTAGGAAACATTTAGGATACATTAAAGATACAGCTTGAATACACTTAGGATAAGGTCGGGCCATTTTGAATTTAGTAGTGCTTTCGTAACCCCTCACATTCTGAGATGGCAATAAATTCAGAACACAAAGGAGTTGAGTTTTTGCCACAAACTCTGATTTTCTAATCTCTATATCTTTGTAACCCAATGTCGTAGACCTTAGATATTTCAAACTATTAATACTTAAAGATAAAATAAGCTAAGTTTGAAATATCAAAGTTTTGCACCATCAGGTTGCAAAGATATTGGGATCAGAAGATTTGAGTTTGTGGCGAAAAATCAATTCCTTTGTGAAATTCTTTTATATCCAACTGATGATATTCCCATCTTTCTGATTGAATGTTTCATGATAAATTAAGCGGATTTTGTATAAGCATGTTCGTCTTTTTCTAATATTATATAAATAGTCATTTTATTTATTGATAAACCAACGTCAATTATAGGTTTAGATTTTATAAATATATCTCTCTAGGTTATATTACAGATTATAGGTTTAGAGTTTATAAATATTCCTCTCTAGGTTATATTACAGATTATATAGTATACGCGACTGCAATTAACGTTTCTTGCATTAGTACCTTGGGCTGTTAAATGTTTTTACAGGTAAAAATAGGCCACTTCGTCCCTACTTTAATCTCCTATTCAATTCAATTGTACCGTACCCACTTCTAGTACCGATCCGGTCTTAATTATCAGCTGAATTGTATCATACCCACTTCTAGTACCGGTCCTGTCTTAATTATCAGCTGAATTGTATCATACCCACTTCTAGTACCGGCCCGGTCTGAAGTATCAGCTGATTTGTACCGTACCCACTTCTAGTACTGATCCTGTCTTAATTATCAGCTGAATTGTACTTTACCCACTTCTAGTACTGGTCCAGTCTTAATTATCAGCTGAATTGTATCGTACCCACTTCTAGTACTGGCCCAGTCTTAATTATCAGCTGAATTGTATCGTACCCACTTCTAGCACCGACCCGGTCTTAAGTATCAGCTGAATTGCATCGTACCCACTTCTAGTACCGACTCGGTCTTAAGTATCAGCTGAATTGTACCGTACCCACTTCTAGTACGGGCCCGGTATTAAGTATCAGCTGAATTGTACCGAATTGTAAGAAACAGAAAAATATCGAAATTATATTGGCAAACCCACCCGCAAGCCGCAATGATCTCATGCAAAAATATTCCATTAATGAAAACCATTTTTTATATTTTGAGTTTGATGTTTTTAGCTTGTGCTAAAACTGCGCCAAATCAGAAGTTTTAATGATCCCTAGATTGTCAACTAATTGGTTAAAAAGAAAGGTGGAAAAACATTTATCAGACTGCACGTTTTACAAATAAGTAGAAAAGAAAATTAAAATATCATCAAGATATTTTGGATAGAAATATAGATTAAAGAAAGAGAAAGTAAGAGGAATTGAGTCTTTGCAACAAATTCAAATTTTTTGCACCCTGATGGTGTAAACCTTTTATATTTCATTTAAATTTAGAATTGGGATCCAAAAATATACGGATTAGAAAATCAGAGTTTTTGGCAAAGACTCAATTACTTAAAAAAATGTTTTAAAAGTTTTCTGCTTTGCCACAGGAATATTGTAAAGCTTTGTAGATGTCTACTCACCGCTGATGTTTTCCTGCTGTTGGGAGCAGTACAACTGCCCCGGCAGGTCACTGAGCAGCTGTTATTGCTGCTGCAGGTCAACCTGTTGCAGTTCCCGGGGTTTGTACAGCATTGTTGTACTCGCATCAGGGATCTAGCATCATCTTTTCCTATGTACACATTTCAGATTTATTTTAAATCATTTAGATAAACTTATATCGGAGAGAATATTAGTATTCGTTTAAAGACAAAAACAGGAAGTAAAACAACATCATCATGACAATTTAAACTATAATTATAAAAGTATTGAGCGCTTATGAAAGAGGGGTACTGCGCTCCCTAAATTTCTTTCTAGCTTAGGAACCCAGCGTTGCCCAAGTTACTCATAAATACCACTGCCGTTTACCTGCTTGGTTTTAAATTAAGATTTTAGCTTTCTTTTTCCTCAAAAAGTGGATCCCACTCAACATAAAATCCCGGACAAGAAACATTCCCGTAGCTCTCCCGAGTTCCCCAATCAAAATTTGAGGTAAATCGGTGCAGGAGTTCATGAGTTATGATCGGACAGAGAAAAAAAACAAACAAATATATCTATATATATATACACTTGAACTGACCTTTTATTCTGACAGTTCTGCCACTAAGCCAGGAGGTTTCTGATGTGAGTAAGGGTAAAGGGGTTTTATTATTATCCAGGTAGACTTCTATACTGTCAATATCAAACCCTCGCCTCTCACACAACCCAGATACTGCTTCTCTGTAATATAGATGAATTAATATACAGATGAATAAGGAATCCATAATAAATGGAAATTTTATTTTAGTTATTGCATATATTCCTCTTTTTGATTTTGTGTTCATATTTTTGACTTTGCCATTAGATCATCAAAGATCAAACCTTACATAGCTTAATCACAATGATTACGGATAATCGCGCTTTTTTAATGTAAAAACTAAAACTAAGATTGGGCACGAATGGGAAAATTGTTCGTTTCCTGGTCAATTTTGCCTCATTAACTGAGTTTAATTCTCGTAAGTTTCACTCAAAACTAAACTTTTTCCTTTTTTTTGTATAATAAGTAATTAATTTCTGGTAACGTTGTAAACAATATTTTTCCACTTTTCAATTAAAAGGGCGCTTTCCTATTTTGCTAACAGTCCCTTTATGCCTATTATTAAAGGAAAGAAAGTAGAAGATATTGTTTGGAGAATCTGAACCCAGAACAGGAAGTGATCGAGACAAAAATGTCTGGATAATGGAACCAACCATCCAAACATCCATCAATCTATCCATCTATTCTGCATCCTTCCTTTTCATCCATAAATTCACACAATTTTCCATCATTCTTATATATCTTACATTTCATAGGTTTTCATCTAATGTTTGTTAAAAGTAATATTTTTTCAAGAAAAAAATACAAATAATATAATTTACTTTTGTAATATGTTGCAATCTAGTAACTTTTCCTAGAGTATATTTATACTAACTTAGTAATTAGTAACTTTCCTACAGTAGATTTTATCATCATCTTCAGCTAATTAGTAACTTTTTCTGCCATTAATTTCACTTTTATCATGACATTTAGAAAATTAGTAAGTTTTTCTGTCGTAGATTTCACTTTAATCATGTTATTTAGATAATTAGAACCTTTTTCTGTCGTAGATTTCACTTTAATATCAAGTTATTTAGATTAATATTTTATCAAGTTAATTGTGATATATAACTTCATTGTTAGAACAAATAACCTAGCGGAAAATAAAAAATATTTAAATTTAAAAAAAAGTTATTTAGATAATTAGTAACTTTTCCAAACATAGTTTTACTTTATCATGATATTTTGATAATTAGTAACTTTTTCTGTCGTAGATTTCACTTTTATCATTTTATTTAGATAATTATTAAGTTTTCCTAACATAGTTTTTACTTTATCATGTTATTTAGATAATTATTAAGTTTTTCTGTTTTAGATTTCCCTTTTATCATGATATTTTGATAATCAGTAACTTTTCCTAACATAGTTTTACTTTATCATGATATTTTTTGCCACAAACTCTGATTTTTTAATCTCTATATCTATGTGTTGTAGACTTCAGATATTTTAAACTATAAATTCTGTTAGATCAAAAATAAAGGTTTACACCATCAGGTTGCAAGGATATAGGGATTAGAAAATTTTAGTTGATGGCAAAGACTTAATTCCTTTCGTAGATTTTTCTTTTTTCAAAAATGTTAAATATTTTTCCGAGCAAATTTGTTCAACTTTGACATGTTCATAAACCTTCCCTAGGGTCACGTGAGTTGCCATGTAAAAATTGGGCCCGCTCGGTTCAGTCATTTTGGCGTTTATTGAATGCAAACAAACAGACGGACAAGCGAACAAGATGAAGCTATTATTTCTAATTAAATGAACTATACACCTAGTACATATAATCTCACTCTTCAGGGGTTTGGCCATTTACTTTTTTCCTCAAAAGTTTCTGAACTAGATATTCTTTTTTATTTTTTATAATTCTAAAACGTTGTAGCATGAAAGATATTGCAATTTAAATTTTTTTTATTGGTATTTTTCCTTTCAAAGAACTTCAATATTCATGATTTAGGAAAATTGCTGCTTTCTTAAGTTTTATCTTCTGCAAGAGATTCAAGATTTAAGATATTGCGCGCGTAGATCCTATCTATCTGTCTGTCTGTCTGGCCTGTCTGGCTATCTATCTATCTATCTATCTATCTATCTATCTATCTATCTTTATCCTAATATGAATATATTCATCTACTACCTTTCCTGCGGATGAAAGTTTTCTTCTCCTAGTGAGAGGGGTAGGTTGCCCCTGGTCCCCCCCGTCATCCATATCATCCAGTTGGGTCAAACTTCGAGATCGAACCTAGAATAAAGAATACATGTATTTGGTATTTAGTGTAGTATTCGGGCACCCTGTTTATGAGCTTTGTCGACACCTCGGACTAACCAAACGGTTTTTTCTTATTTGAATCAGTCGCGTTTTAGACAATGACAAAGAGGGGGCATTGCAAGTAAACAGCTGACTGTCAGATAACCACTGAACTCTGTACAAATCAAAATTTTCATCATGAAGCACCATCTGTTGTGGAGCAATGCTCTTAAGGCCTCTCAGCTTAAATAAGCTTGGTTTAAAATCAAGTTGACGAAGTTTCGAAGAGAAGTTAATTTCAAAAGAAAATTTAAGATTTTTTTCATAGAAGTAAAACAGATAACCTTGCAATCTTTAAACTTTAGCAAATATTTTTTTATCTGTTGTTCAGTATTACTATTTTAAATGAAAAAAACAAGAATTTTTAATTGATTTAGTGTGACCTCTCGTGGCAGAATTATGAACTACATTCAGTTGCAGAGGAGGAATGCTGTCTAGAATATTCCATTCATTTTTCAAAAAATTACAAATAGCAATTTTTACTACTTTTAGAATGAAAATTGATGGAAAAAAATGATTGAAAAGCAAAATTTCACTTCAAAAATTTTTAAAATATCAAAAAATTTGTACTAGAAGCACAGATCAGGTAGATATAGATACAGGGTTGACGCGTCCAGGTGTCTGACAAGTTTATACATACAGCAACGTTAATGTTAAATTACACGATGGGCTTTAAGAACGAAAATATTTGTATTTCAAGAATTACTGTTGCCACGCTTCCTCCCCAGAACCACTGGACACACTGTGGAAATATAAAACAACCCCGAATTCTACACCTCGATTGATTGATTAACTCAAAATATACAACTAAATGCAGCTGACTGTCAAGAAAAGATAGGCAGGGCGGTCCGCGTCAATGATCCATCTATGTCTTTACCTACTGCGCCGGTTCAAATTTGAATCATCGATTAAAATATAAAGATTTAGAAAGGATCATGAATAGGTGATTTAAATTTGAACCGACGCTAGGCAGTTCAGCGACCACGCAAATTCATTAGATTTGGTCCCTGGATCAAATTGTCTATGTTTGAAATATCAAAGGTTTACACCATCATGTTGCACAGATATAGAGATTAGAAAATCAGAGATTTTGGCGAATGTCAAGTTCCTTTGGCCGGTTTGTACTTTAAGATTCTGAGTAGACTATATACGTGCATATTAAGATAAACAAGAATGACTTTCAAATTTCAATATTATTTTCTTACCAGAGGAATATCAAACTAAGTAAATTGTAGAATGTAAATCTTATATATTTTGAATTATAACTTTCTTTTTAAATGTTTGAATTTCTAATATGTATCCAGGTAAATTAGTTTTTTTTATTACTTTTTCATAACTTGAGAAGCTATCAGGTCACAAAGTCGTACGGATTTGTCCTTCTCCTTCTTTCTAGTTTGCAGAGGAAGATGGGAAAACTTTTATGTTGAATCTCCGATTAACTAAACCAGATCTGGAGAATATTATGTTTCCACCAGATTTACTAAACCATATCAGGAGAATATTATGTTTCCACCAGATTAACTAAACCATATCAGGAGAATATTATGTTTCCACCAGATTAACTAAACCAGATCTGGAGAATATTATGTTTCCACCAGATTAACTAAACCAGATCTGGAGAATATTAAGTTTTTTCACCAGATTTACTAAACCAGATCAGGAGAATATTATGTTTCCACCAGATTTACTAAACCAGATCAGGAGAATATTATGTTTACACCAGATTAACTCAACCAGATCTGGAGAATATTATGTTTCCACCAGGTTTACTAAACCAGATCAGGACGAAGTGTATTATGTTCCCTCCAGATTTACTAAACCAGATCAGGACGGAGTGTATAATGTTCCAACCAGATCAGGACGGAGTGTATTAGGTTCCCTCCAGATTTACTGAACCAGATCAGGACGGAGTGTGTAATGTTTCCTCCAGATTTACTAAACCAGATCAGGACGGAGTGTGTAATGTTTCCTCCAGATTTACTAATCCAGATCAAGACGGAGTGTATAATGTTCCAACCAGATTTACTAAACCAGATCAGGACGGAGTGTGTAATGTTTCCTCCAGATTTTCTAAACCAGATCAGGACGGAGAAATAGTTCAATATTTTCTCAGGCAGCGAAATAATTCCAGATTTTGAAATCCTAAAGGGACTGTAAGCTTAATTTCGTTTTCTTAAATGTAAATGAATGTTTACTCCAAATACTAGAATTAAAGTAAATATTGATATTCCTGAAATAGAATCAACTTGGAAACAAGGAAAATCCTGTCATTCTTGATCAGCCAAATCGTTAAAGTGTACTGTTGTGAATCGGAAATGCCCCTCTTTAACTAGAAGTTCACTTGGGATAAAGCTTACAGTCCCTTTAATATTTTGACATTCTTCTCAACTCGAAGGCTCAGGAATCTATCAAGGTTCAACTAGAGAGTTATGGAATCCTTCTTCTCCAAGTCCTCCGATAAACAGGGGACCCGGAGAGATTAATGAACCTTAATCTTTTTCTGATTGAAAAGCCAGAATTTAGAAATTGTATGAAAGGGGAATATTCTCCCAGTTAGTCAAGAATTCAAAAGATATTTAAAACAATTTAGATCTTGTAAGTAAATCACTAGATTTTAAAGAATAAATTTTATTACAAATAATCGAAAAGAAATATTATAAGAATTGAAAGTACATAGTTTTGATTTATTAATCCTTTTTTTCAATCTAAAGGCAAAAGGAATTGAGACTTTGGAACAAAATCAAACATTTAAACCACAATATCTTTAGAACTCGATGTTGTAAACCTTTGATATTTCAAACTCAGATTACTTGATCTAACAGAATTCAAAGTTTGAAATATCTAATGTATGCAACATATGGTTCCAAAGATATAGTGATTAGAAAATCAGAGTTTGTGGCAAAGACTCAATTCCTTTAGTAAGGAATAATTAGATACAAAAGTAATTTTCTCTTTTTATCTACATTATTGGACAAATACAATTAAAATTTGCAGATTTTCGTGTTTATAGTTGTGATCGAGTATTAGAAATAACAATAGGAATTACCACAAACTCTGATTTCCTTTGTCATATATCTTTGCAACCGTTTGTTGTAGACCATAGATATTTCAAATTATGAATGTTGGTGGATGAAATAAGTTAAGCTTGAAATATCAACGGTTTACACCATCACGTTGCAAAGAAATAGGGATTAGAAAATATGAGTTTGTGGCAAAGGCTTAATTCAGAATAAAATCCCTCTGGTGCTAAGTCAAGTCCTACAAAAAAAATAAACAAATACTTACATTGATATCAGATTTGTTGTAATAAGCTTTTCTTTGTTTCAACTTTCCTCTTCTACGCAGATTACTCTTGAAGGATCTAGAAATATATTAATATATACAGATTACTCTTGGAGGATCTAGATATATATATATATATATATATATACTAAACCAGATCAGGAGAATATTATGTTTCCACCAGATTAACTAAACCAGATCAGGAGAATATTATGTTTCCACCAGATTAACTAAACCAGATCAGGAGAATATTATGTTTCCACCAGTCTAGATATAGATATATATATTACTCTTGAAGGATCTAGATATAGATATATATATTACACTTGAAGGATCTTGAAATAGGTATATATATATTACTCTTAAAGGATCTAGATATAGATATATATATTACTCTTGAAGGATCTAGATATAGATATATATATTACTCTTGAAGGATCTAGATATAGATATATATATTACACTTGAAGGATCTTGATATAGGTATATATATATTACTCTTGAAGGATCTAGAAATATACAAGAATGTAATGCAAGGAAGCAAGGAAAGTTAATTGCAGTTGCGTTTACTCTGCGTACATATTGAAACCAGTTTTCTCTGGGCGGAATTTTAAAACAAGAATAGATGCCTCAGTGTTCGTTTAGTATCCGAGGAAGTTAAAAGCATTGAATTTTAATGATTTTGATAATTCACATGATAGTTTCCTATGACCAGAATATTTCAAAGATTATTTATGTGAAAGATGGATCCCATGTCAGGCTTCGCGACATCCGTCTTGTGTTTACATTACCGCCCAGTGGCAATACAACTGCAGTACAAAAGATGCGTACACCTCTGAAATAACTTTTCTTGCAGTAAATCCTTGGAATAAATATATATATATATATCTTTAAAGATCTAGATATAGATATATAAATTACTTTTAAAGAATCTAGATAAATATATTGTAATTACGCTCATTAATTTAATCCGTATCATAGAATTCAAAATAATCGTCAGTTGGAATAATACTCAGCTTGATTACGGTTTAGAGTAATTATATTCCTCTTTTATCAAAGAGAGGGTTTCAGTGTATCTTGTAAAACAGACACAAAAGAATACTGATAGTTATATCTGGTTTGATATTGACTAAAGTATTATTGAACAGAATAGTTCTTATGTCTCGTGGATTAACGAGAGGGATTGAGTTGTACCTGAATTGGTACTGCTTTAAAAGTATTTCTAGGAGTAGGCCATTTAATACGAAAGTGGCCAGGAATAAGGAACCCTAGTTAATTGCCAAGTTAAATGCCAAAGTCTCCGATGAAGAAAAACCAACATAAGGAGATATTGTATCAGAAGAAGTAGTAGCAGTAACTCTGGACAGTGTTGGATCATTGTACCCTAGTCCACCTAGTGAGGACGAATCAGAGACAGAACTAAACATGACGGAAACCAGAGTAAAGAGAACCCCTTAACTCTCAGACTATCAGCTCATAATGCAAAGGTTGGAGCAAGCGGAGTTGCAAAGCCGAGCTGAAGCAGTGGAAGAAGTAAAAATGAAGAAAGAGAATCAGTCATTCGTGCAGATGTGACAGCAATGCTGGAAAGACCCAACATTGTGGAAGCACAACAAAAAACAAGGATTTCCTATATGCTAGGATTACAAACAGGACAGCAACAGAGGATATAGATAATAGGCTATATAGGCAAATATGAGACTAATCTTGATAAAAGAATACTGGCTTTCATAGAAAAGGCTCCAAAATTTCGTGGAGACCCAAAAGAAGTGTTCGAATGGTTTGAGAAATTAGAAAATCATTTTTCTAACTATAAATGGCAAAAAAACGAAGCAATGAAAAGAATGCTATTGTCATGTATCACGGGATCAGCTAGACATAGATAGTGCTGTTGCAGCATACAGGAGCAGGACTAGCATTTGTGAATTACGAGACAGGAGATTATTTCTCAGAGCTGTTGAAGAAATTCTCACAAGAAAAGATGAGGAAGGCCGAAAACAGGAATACACAGTCAGGAGACAGGGAAGAAATGAAAATCCTAGGAAATACTATACTGACAAGTTAAGGCTATGGATGGAGCATATGCGCTCCAGCGAAGAGGACCCTGGTAGAGTTCAAGAGTACGATGATTATGGGACTGTACCACTTGGAGCTGAGGAGAACATGTCTACAGTCCATATCTAAAGTACTGCAATATGAAAGCGAGATCAAGTACTCCTTCACATGATATGGCTGGATTAAGGAGCACATATAGTTTTGAGACAGAGGGAAAATACAAAAATAGATGAAATTTGGAAAACAAAGTTCCTATGGAAGTAAACGCGATGTCTGGTTTAGTGTTAGATGAATCAGATAGAGAAAGAAGTTATGGAGATGTAAGAAGAATCCAATCAGAGCCCGCGATTAAAAAAATTTGGGAAAATACGGCTCGGGTCTAAGCTGTCGTTGGACCTTATTTACGGCTTGAGCTTTCGGATTCAAGCTGCATCTTATTTTCCACAGAGTTGAATTCAAAAAACTGGTTTAATATTCTATTTGACGGATTTTCATGGTAGGAATTGGCGCATTCCCAGTTTTTATGAGAACAAGACGCAACATTGAGCCTTATCCTCCACTAAAACCAACCAAGGTCGGTTTTATTTTTATTGGTCCTAACTCCTTAAGTCGAGCCGAAGATCTTGCAGCTGTCAATCACGTGACACAAGCTGTCGTTAGAGTTGGGTCGAAGATTGGGTCTTAAAGTCGGGTTTAAGGAATTTCGACTCGAGCCGAAGCTTTTAAATCGCGGGCTCAGGAAAGATAATAATATTTCCTGTTTCAATTGTGGAAAACCAGGCCATTACTCCCGAAATTGCAGAGGAGAGAGATCGGGTAATATGGAGGCAGAGGTGACGGTAAAAGAGGAGAAGGACACTTGGCGGAAATGGAAAAGGTCAAGGCGGATATGATAGAGGTGATAAAGAAGGCAGTACCGAATGTGGTTTTAACGTAGAGAGTTCCAACAGCGGACAGCTGGCAACTTTAGAGAAGAAGAAACATAATTCAGTGAAACATAAAGATGAATTAATGAACGTTTCAAATCTTTTAAATGTCAGACCTTTTAATTCTGAGTTAACAGATACCTTAATGCCTCAAAGCAAGTAAGAAGAGGAAGAGAGTAGTTGGGAGGAAAAGTTAATTATGAACTTGTACAGTATGGAAGAGTTAGAGAAAGACGATGTTAAAACCTCGTAAAACAGATACCAAAGAATACTGATAGCCGTATCCTGTTTGATATTGACTAAAGTATTATTGAACAGAATAGTTCTAATGCCTTGTGGATTAACGGGAGGGATTGAGTATTGAACAGAATAGTTCTAATGCCTTGTGGATTAACGGGAGGAATTGAGTATTGAACGGAATAGTTTTAATGCCTTGTGGATTAACGAGAGGGATTGAGTATTGAACAGAATAGTTATAATGCCTTGTGGATTAACGAGAGGGATTGAGTATTGAACAGAATAGTTCTAATGCCTTGTGGATTAACGGGAGGGATTGAGTATTGAACGGAATAGTTTTAATTAACCAGAGGGATTGAGTATTGAACGGAATAGTTCTAATGCCTTGTGGATTAACGAGAGGGATTGAGAATTGAACGGAATAGTTCTAATGCATCATGTATTAACGAGAGGGATTGAGTATTGAACAGAATAATTCTAATGCCTTGTGGATTAACGAGAGGGATTGAGAATTGAACAGAATAGTTCTAATGCCTTGTGGATTAACAAGAGGGATTGAGAATTGAACGGAATAGTTCTAATGCCTCATGTATTAACGAGAGGGATTGAGTATTGAACAGAATAATTCTAATGCCTCATGTATTAACGAGAGGGATTGAGAATTGAACAGAATAGTTCTAATACCTTGTGGATTAAAGAGAGGGATTGAGTTGTACCTGGATTGGTACTGATCTAAAAGAATTTCTAGGAGTAAGGCTTTTACTACATATATATTAATGTTAAAGAATCTAGAATATATAAATAGGTAACTCTTAAAGGATCTAGAAGTATAGCTTTATAAAGATATATTTTTTTATTCATATATTAATAAATGAAGAATATATCAACAATTTTTAATAATTTATTGTATCGTATCTTTACATATATTATATTTCATCTGGCCAGAAGATTGTCTTGCATGAAACATAATATTGATACAATAAAAATTCTTCTTATATTTTAAATATATAGATATGTTGAATACTCGTGTTTCTAGCTCTGTCTATGTAACATATTTGAACTGAGAATGTAGTATTATGGGGAAAAAAACTATAGTTGCATGCATAAAAACAGGTTTAGAAAAACATTAAACATAGAACATTGAAAATAAGTTATTAAAATTCATTTTAAAATATCACAGGTTTATGCAAATTCATTCAACTAGGGTTGCTTTTTTGAGGTTTTCTTTATTTTAATTGTGAAGAAAAAATTTTGAAGAAATCTGCCAATTAAATTATAGAAATATCAAAGGTAATGATGATAATGAAACAATCGATTCTACGCTTCTACTATGGCTTTCATCGATAATTTCTTTTCAGAAACATGTTCCTAAACAGAAAATTTGTCTATAAAACTATTTTTTTTTAATAGTTTGTCCGGGTTATTAAAAAATTGTAAAAAATGATTCTTCTGCTGATGCTCTAATTTAAAAATTGTACAACGTAGAACTGTCACATTGGTTTAAATGAATATTAAAATTTTCTCCACAATACTGCATTCTTAGTTCAAATATTTACACAGCCAGTCTTTCTCTTTATAGAAATGCAAAATCATGATAGATTTTACCGGAAGAATGTAAATGTTTTTGTTTAAAGTTTTGTCAATCCTCCGCTTTTGTTAGAATTCTGTGATATATAATTAATATATAACATATAATGTACTGACATCGTACTTTAATTAATTTCCTTTCATATTCCATAAACTGCCGGTGCTATGAGGAATGGCTGTCCATAAACTGCCGGTGCTATGAGGAATGGCTGTCCATAAACTGCCGGTGCTACGAGGAATGGCTGTCCATAAAAAATGTTATCAACAATTTTTTATTTGCTTAAGATTTATTAGATTTTTTTTTTGCATCCTTTTCAATCCATTTCTATTGGTTGAATCAAAAATAAATATTTTTAGCTTTTCCTTATTTTGATTTTTTTTTCACGAGTTATTGGGCAGCCAACCTAATGTATTTAAGACTGTAAGTAATATGTAATGTTATGTATATTTACTATATATGAATATGTAATGTAGTGTATATTTACTATATACGAATATGTAATGTAATGTATATTTACTATATATGAATATGTAATGTAGTGTATATTTACTATATATGAAAATGTAATGTAGTGTATATTTACTATATATGAATATGTAATGTAGTGTATATTTACTATATATGAATATGAATGTAGGATAATACTTCTTTACTCTTGGATAAGTAGTAAATGTTAATGTAATCATAAATCAAAAATATTTTCTTTTTGTTCAAGTTTTTAACATATATATAGAATATTTTTTAAACATTTTTAAAAGTTTGTAACTATACAAACTTATTAAAAGTGTTCTCACAAGGCAGAATTCAATTAAAAAGCAACCAATAGATTTCGTGTGTTTATAATTGTTTTTAGTAATAATATAAAAAAATGGCATCTCTGTTCCCTACTAAAAGAAAACTACTATTTGCTGAATGTAATATATTTTATTTAGATATTTTATATTTTGTGCACAAGTATGTTTTACATTTCCAGCCCCCTCCACCCCCAACCCCCAAACCAAACCAACGAACCCCTCCTCTCACTCCCGAAACCGCTATATACGGGCCGAGCGCTGCGGCCATAACAAACCTACAATTTCAACAATTTCCGACAAAATTAGTGTAAATTAAGGGTTAGGTTTGGTTAATGGGATCTAAAACTTTACAACTGGATCTAAACTGTATAGAATCCCAGGATTTAAACTGTATAGATTCCCTGGATCTAAACTGTATAGATTCCCAGGATTTAAACTGTATAGATTCCCCGGATTAAAACTGTATAGATTCCCAGGATTTAAACTGTATAGATTCCCTGGATCTAAACTGTATAGATTCCAAGGATTTAAACTGTATAGATTCCCTGGATCTAAACTGTATAGATTCCCAGGATTTAAACTGTATAGATTCCCTGGATCTAAACTGTATAGATTCCCCGGATTAAAACTGTATAGATTCCCCGGATCTAAACTGTATAGATTCCCTGTATCTAAACTGCATAGATTCCCTGGATCTAAACTGTATAGATTCCCTGGATCTAAACTGCATAGATTCCCCGGATCTAAACTGTATATATTCCCTGGATCTAAACTGTATAGATTCCCTGAATCTAAACTGTATAGATTCCCTGGATCTAAACTGTATAGATTCCCTGGATCTAAACTGCATAGATTCCCCGGATCTAAACTGTATATATTCCCTTGATCTAAACTGTATAGATTTCCCGGACCTAAACTGTATAGATTTCCCGGATCTAAACTGTATAGATTCCCTGGATCTAAACTGTATAGATTCCCTTGATCTAAACTGTGTAGATTCTCTGGATCTAAACTGTATAGATTCCCTGAATCTAAACTGTATAGATTCCCTGGATCTAAACTGTATAGATTCCCTGGATCTAAACTGTATAGATTCCCTGGATCTAAACTGTAAAGATTCCCTGGATTTAAACTGTATAGATTCCCCGGATCTAAACTGTAAAACATGCGTCTTGTTGGAAACCTTTGCTTTTAAAAATACCGAGATAAAACGCGAAATAAGATTTCCAGGATAACAGAAGAGATTTTTTCCCAATATTCTTCATTATATTTGTCTGAATATAAAGGTTTAAATTAGAAAAATGTTTCCACAGAAACTTTCATTTTTACCTAAAAACGCATCTGTGCATTTTCTAAGAAATATTTTTAAAATGACCAATTTTTCAGGTTTATTTTGTGCTAAGTGATGAGTCTGAGAATACAGCAAAAAAAAGATAAAATATATGCGAGAAGTTTGAAGAGTGGCAGGATTAATTTGATATTTTTAGAATAAAACTTGAAATATTAAACAAGTTTCAAATATAGTTTTAAATTGTATTTAAATAATTTAAAGTAAGATGTAGCAAGGTAGAAACAATTGAATTATAATGGATGAGTTTGTGCGTCATTTAAACCCAAGAATGAAAACCTAAAAGGAGAAGGATGCAGATGTTTATATGTTTATGATATCAATTGCACTAGGCTTACGGACAGGGCACTTTGCGCCCATCTTCTATTTCAATTGTAAGTATTTTCTCTTTTTATACATCGTAAAACAAAAACAAAACAAAAAGTTCGAGGATTTTATTAAAAAAAATTTCGTGGATTTTCAAATATTAATGGAAATCGAATTTTGTTGGAGGCTATTTTTTAGATTTTGATCATTTATAACTTTGAGGTTCCACAAAAAATTTGGACCCGATCGGTTTTCTCTCTCTGTATATAATATTATACGCAATGTCTGTTTTATATTAGGTACAGGGTGAAGCAGAGAATAATTATGCGGGGGGTTAGGATTTAACATGACTATCCTACTAAATATCCTTGGTTTAACCTTACTATTCTACTAAATATACTTGGTTTAACCTGACTATCCTACTGAATATCCTTGGTTTAACCTGACTATCCTACTAAATATCCTTGGTTTAACCTGACTATCCTATCAAAAATCCTTGGTTTAACCTGAATATTCTACTAAATATCCTTGGTTTAACCTGACTATCCTACTAAATATCCTTGGTTTAACCTGAATATTCTACTAAATATCCTTGGTTTAACCTGACAATTCTACTAAATATCCTTGGTTTAACATGACTATCCTACTAAATATCCTTGGTTTAACCTGAATATTCTACTAAATATCCTTGGTTTAACCTGACTATCCTACTAAATATCCTTGGTTTAACCTGTTTGATGATGACTCCTCCAGGTCTGACGAGTACAGGGCTGGAGAAGAGGAGAACCAAGCATTGTTTGAACCAACTGCAGGAGTTCGTAAATATACTCCACCCTCGGTATCACTCAGTCGTCGACAGGGAGGAGTTCCAGGAGGCTGAAATATTAAATAATTATAACAGGGAGGAGATCCAATAGGCCGAAACATTAAATAATTAGGACAGGGAGGAGATCCAGGAGGCTGAAATATTAAATTATTAGGACAGGGAGGAGTTCCTGGAGGCTGAAACATGAAATAATTATGACAGGAAGGAGTTCCTGGAGACTTAAATATAAAAAACTAGGTTTTTAGGGCACTTTGCGCCCATATTCTATTTCAATTGTGAACTTTTTCTCTTTGTTTAAAATTGTAAATGAAAAAAAATTTCGCGGATTTTATTTTAAAAAACCGTGGATTTTCAAAATTTTCAAAAATCCAATTTTGTCAGAGGAAAATTTTTGAAAATTCTATCGTCCATGAACCTGCCCTGGGGTCACGTGAGGTCCCACAAAAATTTGAGTCCGATCATTTCAGCCGTTTTGACGTTTATTGGATACAAAAAAACAGACAGACAGACAAGCAAATTATATATATAGATTAGGACACATTGGATATTTTTAAGTCAACAGCAATAGGGAAAATTGAGAAAAAAACGAAGAACAAAGCTTCATAGTAAACCAATTGCTTAGAATATAAATTTTCAGTGGAGGTTTTAAAGGAGATTGCCAAACTGAAGGGTTTGAAATTGCACAACTTGTGATATTGCACATGCAAATAAAATATTGGAGTGACCTTTGCAGATAATAAATGATTTCACAATTTGCAAGTTTAGGAGTTTCCCCAGATATAAAGATAATCAAGCTGCAAATATCTTAAGTATAGCTTAAGTTTTAAGAAAGTATTAAGAAAAATCTTGCTTGTGTTTTTAATTCAGATTGGGTTTGGTTGTACTTTTCAAGGTTTTCAAGCACAAAGACAAATGAACTATAAATTCAATTACAATATTTAATTGTTCTCCTAAAAAGCTACTGTTCTAAGAAGAGGATAGAATTGTATAGTCTAGTCCTCGCTACGCTTCTACTAATAGTATCCCCTGGATTACAATGGACCCTAATCAACTCAAACACAATTGCAAAAAATGTTATAAATATTGTAAATAAAGAAATTGAGTTTTTTCCCACAAACTCTGATTTTCTAATTTCAATATCGTTGCAACCCAATGTCGTAGACCTTTAATATTTCAAACTATGAATGATATTAGAGCAAACAATTTAAGTTTGAAATATCAATGGTTTACATTATAAGGTTGCAAAGATATAGGTTTTACAAAAACTGAATTTGTGACAAAGACTCAATTCCTTTATTTGGAGAAAAGTATTTTTCATTTTATTTATCCCAGCAATAAGGTCCTATACAGATTTAATACAATTTTTAGAAACAGATGTTTCCGAAACAACACTCAATATTAAAATATTTTAAATAAACTTTTTAATTTTCTTTTTTTAAATGCATTTCAATCCGACCCTTTCCACAAAGGTTTATTAATAAAGGAAATGTCAGATATAAAAGAAATCCTAAAAATTATATTTATCTTTTTTTCTGAAAAAGTTGGAAAGAAAGAACTC